TTTCATTTACTATACATACCTAATCAAATATTTTCGAAGTCGGTGTGCTTTGCTTTGTATGGGCTGGCACCGATTTCGAAAATATTTGATCAGGTATGTATAGTAAATGAAAACTACCAATCAGTTATTTTTTACTTTTTAGTGTTTTTTTGAAATCGGTCTTTATTTTTTTGCTAAAAAGTTTTTATTTTTCCCTTTTTAGTGCAGACATAGTAGTAGCAAAGTAAGAAGAAAGTATTTTAATAAAATATTCGCTTAAACCGTTTTAAATTATTTTGATGCCAATTTTTGTACGAAGACTTACAAACTAAAATTCGCTTTTATTAGTAACACTAAAAATTCTGGCTCTAAAATCCGATTCTAACGTGTTAGGTTTATCAAATCAAACAAAATAAGCCCAAACTCAAAGTATCTACTATTAGCCGTTGAAGAGTTCCACCTATCCCCCTTCTGGCCTTGCCATCAGATCAGGTCAATAATACCGAACCACTATACTATCAACGAAAATAGAAACACTTGCAAAGTTTCAAGTCAATATGACAATTAGAAGTAGGTCAAATTCATTAATAGCTATTTTTCCACCCTTAGGGGTGGTATTTTTTTTGAAATTTAAATGGACCAATCTGGAAGTGAACTTTCAAACAAAACAAAAATTGTCCAAATAGGTTAATAAATGACGGAGTTCTGAGGTAACAAACATAAAAAAAACATACAGCCGAATTGAGAACCTCCTCCTTTTTGAGGAAGTCGGTTGAAAAAATCACGCGAACCCACTCCATTTCGACGTAAAAGGAGGACAAACAAACAAACACACTTTCACATTTATAATATTAAGTATAGATTTTCTTTTTTTTCCATAAATAGTCCTACCGTGCAAAACAGGACACGGAGAAGATGGAAGTTGCTTGACAAGAGCGAATTGCAAGACTGGGTCAGGCGCCGTGGACACATCGCTATACGAACCCAAAGGATACAAAAAGTAAGCTATTTATTTTAGACACTAGCATTTTTCTACGGCTCCGCCTGCATAGTACATTAATGACCAACAAATCATATACTAAAACCTTCTCCGAAACACGCTGCATCATATGGTATGAGTATTATTCCGATCGGTTCAGTAGTTATCGCAGTATAACCGAACAAAAAAATCGGGCTCTCCATTTATTAGTACGTATAGATTATAATCTAATATTTTCTTAGATTTACGCGAATTTATGCCATTTTAAATAAAACTATCTTTTCGGATTATTTCGCGGATTTATTTTGATTTTTGATTCCGACGTTTCGAATGCTTTACAGCATGACATCATCATACACTGTCTGTAACAAGTATGTGTTTGAGACGTCTATAACCTTAGTCTCTCCCGTGACCATGACTTCATCAAAATCCCTCCAGTGCTATTTCCGTGATGCGGTAACAGACAGACAGACAAAAATTCTAAATACTATAGATTCGGCCTCTGTATCGATATTATGGACTATTTCAATAAGATTTTCCAAAAAACATTTAATGAACAGATTCGGCTCAGTTAGAATTTTATTATATGTATAGATTATTATTATATTTAAATTTAATATTGTAATACTTTCTTAGATTTACGCGAATATTTGACATTTTGTCTGTAACACCTCATTCTCTCCCGTGACCATAAATACTGTGAAGCATTCTAAACGTCGGGAACCAAAAATCCAAATAAATCCGCGACAAAATCCGAAAAGATAGTTTTATTTAAAATGTTTAATATTGTAATTAATAATTATTATAATTCATCGGTACGTGTTTTTGTTAACATACTCATTAAGGACTGGACCGATTTGCATGAAATTTTGTGTACATATATATTTCAATGGGCTCCTGGATGGTTTGAAAATACAAATGGACTCGGTAGGCGGCGCTGCAGTCGGTGTGTCACCAAATTTTTATATGTATGTATGTATGATGATAGCTGGTTATCCGGGTCAACATATAGGATACTTTTATCGCGGGAAAATATCTTATTTCTGTGAAAAAATACAAAAATTGTATTGTAAGAGTATACTAATATGTAAAACCTAAGAATTTGGTTTTTGGTCATCTGAACTTTGAAGTTTCTACTTAGAGCTTTCATCTAACTATAACAAAACTTTGTTGTAAGTTGTAACTAAATGCAATTTGCATTATAAGACACACTAGAAAGAGTGCTGTCTTTTCGAAAAAGTTAAAAAATGGTAAATTTTATTAATTTATTAATAAATCGATAATGAGTTTTAGATATAATAGATGTTATAAGATTTTTGTTGAACGTAACGATAGCGCGTTTCAATTTCAATCCGCGCCATCTAGTTTAGTTATCTGTAACTATTTTAAACGTAATGGTCTAGTGGGTTGGTACTCGGTTGTCCGGTGGCAAATTCTAAGGTTCGAGTCCCGGGTCCCGGTGTTATATATATATATATATATATATATATATATATATATATATATATATATATATATATACTAACTCGAGTTGGGCTTAACTCGAATTATTATTCGTTCGTTGTGTTCATGTTTTATACAGTCGTCAGCACTTCAGACTATACATTTATGTTGCAAAATCGCTCCTATTACAACCGAATAAGATGCCACAGTAATTAACTTAATCGATGTCGTCCGTACTCCCGTCATAGCGTTGTAACCGAATGACAGCGTTATAATATCTATACTAATATTATAAATGTGAAAGTACGTTTGTTTGTCCTTCTTTCACGTCAAAACGGAGTAATTTCTTGGGTGAAGATAGTTTAGAGTTCGAGGGCTAGAGAATGGTATAGACTACTTTTTACCGCGGAAGATTATCTCATTTCCACGGGGAAACACGTTATATTAAAACCCAAAAAAAATATTTATGATCAGAATTACTTGAAACTTGGTATTAACGCTCTTCAATACAATTAAATAAATATATGTTTTAGCATTCTTCGAAATTTATCCCGTAAGGGGGTAAAATAGCGGATGAAAATTTGTATTAAACCTACCTTTTTAGAGTGTTTTTTTGGAGTTTTAGCGCGAGCAAAGCAGCGGGTTCTGCTAGTAATAATATTAATAAATAAATATAAAAAATATAAATAATTATAACTGTCCCAATAAATATTTATTTAGAATCTGTACCATTTTTTTTAATATTGTTGCGAAGCCGAGTCATTAAATTGGTACAAACAAAACAAATCATTCACTTCATTTTTCATCCAGTTAACTCGAGTTACGTGAATTTCAACTAGAGTTAACTCGAGTTATATTTTTTCTGAGTTGGCACATCACTAATCTGAACGCGGGCGGAGTCGCGGGCAATGCTAGTATGTATATATATGTGTATAATATAACACTTAATAATATATATATATACTAGCTGTACCCGCGGCTTCGCCCGCGATCAAACTACTAAAAAAAACAAACCCTTTGTCACACCGACAGCAGCGCCACCTACCGTGTACAATTGTGAATCTGAACCATTCCCAGATCCCCTTGAACACACACAAAAAATTTCATCAAAATCGGTCCAGTCGTTTGAGAGAAGTTCAGTGACATACACACTCACAGAAGAATTATATATATAAAGATATACTAGCGGACCCGACAGACGTTGTCCTGTCTACACGTCTTTAATTTGAAAATTTCAAACTTTTTTTAATAAGCTAAAACATTCTGGACCATTTTGATGAAAATTATTATTCAAATTGTGAATCTAAACCATTCCCAGATCCCCTTGAACACACACAAAAAATTTCATCAAAATCGGTCCAGTCGTTTGAGAGAAGTTCAGTGACATACACACTCACAGAAGAATTATATATAAAGATATATATATATATATAATATATTTTTAAATATATATAGTTTAAAGTTATACTTTATACATATAGTACAATCATAATACAGTACATAAACCTTAAACTTTTATAATTCATTATAATGCTACAGTTCAACAGAATTGAACTTAAAGCATGTCAAAAATACTCAAAAACTACTGAACGGATTTAGACAGACAACACGCTCTTGGGGCTTATATACTCCGCGGCATAACAACTCGATAGCGCGATTCAGAAACGATCAGCGCCATCTGTGCGTAAACGCTAGAACTACGACAGATAATAAAAGTGTATGGAGTTTTGTTATATAGTTTTCATGATATTTTGTTATTTGTTAATTAAAAGAAAAAGTTAAATTTTATAATAATAATAATATAATTGAAAATATTTTGATGTGGGATATATTTGATATTTGGATTTTAATTTTTAGGTAACATAAATACATTTTTAACATAATTTAAACAAAAATAATTTCAATAAGTGCTTTTCTTACAAAATTACATATTTAAGGTTGAATTAATATTAATTACTTTTTTATTACAATAACAATATTCTATTTTAATTGTAATTTGAGATTTCTAATGTTGCATTTTGGTAATTTTCGTATTGCTTTGTTTTGTCAACGTGTTAATTTACAGCGAGGAAAGATGGCGTAACTTGTTAAATGTTAATATAGAAAAAAAAAATTTTCCAAAACTATATTTGCAACATTTTTATGATTTTAATGTTACTTTTAAAGACTATAGTTTCTTTGAAAATATTATTAAATATATAATTATTTAAATAAATAAAAGTCTCTTTATAAATTCGTTTGCTTCAGCTTAAGTTTCTAATGTATTTTTATTTGGATAATTGGTTATGGATCAATTGTATCATTTTTTTTATTTACAATAAAAGTTTAATTACTCTAAGTTTTAAGTATATTCATGCCTGAAATACTAAGATATATATTCTCTTAATTTATATGAATGGATAATTTTTTAAAAACATACTTTATTTTTTTTAGCTTTATAATATTAAATTACAATTTTCGCTTTTATGAATATTTTATATTAAAAATAACAGTTATTCAATATCTATAATAAGGAACCAACAGAAAAAAAAACAAATGGATAAGAAGATATATTTAATTACATATTTTGTAAATGTTAAAATTGTTATAAAATATGTTAGCATCGATGAGTCCACCAGTTCTGTGCTAGATAGGCCATGGAGAAGCTCTTGCTACAGTTAGTGCATTTCCAATCTGGTTCCAAGTTATGATGTTGGTTAAAATGTAATCTTAAGTCGTCAATCAAATTTGTTCCACTAGCTGAGAAATTACACGGTAAGCATTGCACAAATAAGTTTTTATTTGATGCAATCATCTTTCCAATATATGTTTTGTATTGAGGAGATACTGTTTCTTTTAATTGAATATCATACTTTTTCTTATTAATATCATTCGTCTTATCACCATCTTGGATTTCATTATCTTTGTATAAGTACCTTACATATGGATACTTATTTGTGTACCGTTTATATGCAACCTTCGAGTATAGTACATTCGGTAACAATTCTAAATCTTTTTTTATAAATTCTAATATGTCTTTAGCCCTTGAAAATGCAGATGTCAAATTGTCTATGAATTTTACAAAATCAGACCTATCAATTTTAGTTTGCAATGATGCATTATTAATTTTAAGGTCTTGATCCAACACTTTTAGTGGGTTAAAACGTGATATCAAATGTCTATTTACTAAAACATGTTCTACCTCATGAGTTATTTCTCTTCTGTATATCATGAGATTATTTGTCGATGTCGATATACCAATGCAAACTCCCCACCAATTCAAAATTGCTTCTAAAGGCAACACATTACATGAAATTTGAGTTGGTACACTGTAAGTACTATTAAATATAGAATTATTAAATTCTGGATTTGGTTCACGAAAGAACAATTGATTCAACTGACTCCTTGAAGCACGCACTTCAAGAACCACAGTCCTCTCATCATTTCCCTCGCTGTTGTCCGTTTTCTTGTCGAGTTCTTCATCTACAGTTTTTTGAACAGCTTTCTTTGCCAAGTCCTCGGTGAAATCCAAAATATCTTTTAAATATTGTCTCAAGCTAATATAATTAGTTTGTAATACCTTATTGACACTGACATAATCATTTTTCTTTTTTAATTCATTGACTAACTTGTCAAATTCGTCCCACTGCGGCCAGTCTTTGAGATATTTCTTCATAATAGTCAAATATATATCACCTTCTAATTCATGGATATTGGATATGATTATATTAAATTCCTTATGTAAAATATCTACAATTTGAGCATTTGTCAATATTGTATGCTGCTTATTATCACTCGTTATAAGCCTCTTAAATAACTGTATAATTGGTTTATCTGAAATTACTAATATTTAGTTGGTTAAGGCATATGTATCATGATTCATGATAAATAATAATCAATCGCTTAAAATAATACCATTATTTTTATAACATATTTTATAAATAAATGCTTTGCTTATTATTGTTTAAAAATACAATAAATTTGGCAAATCTCAAACAAGAAACGTTTTTTAAAGAAAAAAGGATATAATTAAGCTTAGGAAAGCAATATGTAAATAAATAAAATTGAAACACAAACCTGAATCAATAATTTCCGTTATGTCCTCGTCATCATCGGAATTTATATCTACCACATCGTTTGATGATGATGAGAACATGATCAGTTATTAAAGCGATTGCCGTCTGCAATTAATTAAATTCAACACTTTGTAAATGGCTTCGAAGCGTGCAAAAGCAAATTGAGCACAGATTACTTCGCCAATGTCACATAGAATGGAGAAGACAAAAAAAAGACTGGTCGGTAAAACAATATTATTTTAAACTAAATTATATTATGTAGAAGGGAGTACATTCTTAATCAACCTCGGCGATTAAAATTTAAAATTGAAAATTAAAATTTAAATAGGAAAAATATCAAACAAAATATTTAGAAGGATACTTTTTTTTATATTATTAGTTGAAAAGGCAAAGGTCATTCACTATGGAGCCTTAGGTTTTTAGCCATTTATAATTTTGATGTTTCTACTATAATTCGTAAAATTAAGTATAGGTAACTATAATATTGTGCTTTTTCTAACAGTAATATTTTTTTTATTTCATATTTTCAGTCCATGTTCAAGTTTAGAAATATGCTGTCCTCAGGCTCAGATCCCCGTGCGACGACATAACATTGTATAATAAAATTAGTAATTTGAATTTTTTTTTTGATTTTCTATAATATATAAAGAAACAGTATTATAATCGAAAATAAAATCGAGTCGACTTGAGAACGTAATACTACGTTTTTCGTCAATTAATAAATTATATTCATCATCCCGCAAACGACAAAATATTAGGCAACTATAGCGAATTTTAATTACGACTTTTTTCGTTAAAGTTATTTGTTCCTTAGTTATATTCGGTAGAGGCATATAAAATAGGGAGTCAAGCGAAACAATGTTTGGCTCCATATATTTTTTTGGCAAACATAAAAATATTTACCTCCTCCCACGGATATTTCTAGTGGCGACCAATTACAGAAAAAATTTATGTCACTTTTCAAAAATGTGAAACTAATAACAATGATTTCAAGACTAATATGGTTTTGATTTTAAAATCTGGATTTATTATTATAAAATTGGATTAATGGATCAGATCCAAATTCGAAAACAATTATATTAATGAAAATAATTTAAATATTTTTTGTTAAGTTTTTATAATACAGGAATATAGAAATTATTAATATCGATACTCGATTATAATATATAGGTTATCGATATATAGCTTGATATTATAATCGATACTCAATATTATATCTATACAAATTATACGTTTATGTTTGTTTATTTGAACATGTTAATTCCTTTTTTTAATGTTGGGAAATGCTTTTAGGCATACCACCTGCATACATACAGGTACTAGGTAGGACTCACCAACAAAGCCAGTATTACCCATTAAAACCCAACGGAACCTCCCCCATCTTAATGCGGTATCGCAAAACAGCCAAAAGATCAAATTGAAATTTGAAATGATGGCGTTATATAAATTCTTTTCATATAATTAACTAAAACAGTATCTTATTAAAAAAAACCTGTTTTTGTGTCTGTTTATATGCATATCTGTGCACATTTCGCGCAAAAACTACTGAACCGATTTTAACTAAATTTTATATTGTGTAATTCATTACTCGGATCAATATTTAAGATACCTATTACTACAGGAAAATCTGACTCTGTCGAGTCATCCTTAGAAATTTACATAATTAACGCTGGCTTTAATACCTTAAGAGATCAAAACAATGTACTATAAAATAGTAGATCTTAAAAAGATCTACAGAAAAAACTGTAATAGCACCTACCTCCTAAACTAGACTCGCAATAACTATTCATATCTATTTAAAACATACCTAGGGACGCATCCGAGCGAAGCAAGGGTGAGTTACTAGTTATAAGTACAAAAGGTATCTAGGGACGTACGACAGCAAAGCTAGAATATGTCGATAAGAAGTTGCATTTTAATCGAAGTTATATTGACATTGCCTAAAAACATTGATAACATATTGATACATTGATTCTCATAATACTATATTTAATGAATAGGCTTTTAAAAAAAACCTACTTAAATTACAAAGCAAAAAAATTGTCTCTTCAAATGTGAAGCACTTGCAGAGGTTTGAAGTTTTTTTGTAAATGGCAAACATGTGGAATGTGAATCGAACATTACGTGATAATATAAAAATTTGTCTTGATTTTTGTCTTGTTTTAAACTTATTTTAATCATTATTCTATACCTAAACCTTATTATTACACGAATCTTTGATATGGTGACCTTCATTTCAATATCCTGATTAAAAAAAAATTAAATAAAAATGTTAACGTCATAAAAATAATTTTTTTTTTTTGCAGGACATGTTCACCAGAGAAAATATGCTGTCTTCTCTCAAACATCATTCCGCAAACCACTGATCCTGATAACGACAGCAACAACTTTAATTTCGACGACGATGACGATTAGTTAAATAATATTTGACAGGCTCAGCAAAAGTGGCTTAACTTTGAGGCCATTTTTATATTAAACCTGGCCTAGCAGAGGTGTTGTCCATTCCATTATAATATGATAAAACTTATAATTTACTGGACCACATTAATCGAGATTACTTTTTTTCGGCACAAACACAATATTGTATACTATAACGTCATCTGTCAGAATGCTATAAACAGTCATATTAAAAAAAAATTGTTCGAATAAAACACGCAATCATATTACATTAAGAAGACTTGCAATCACTAGTTAATATATTAACCACCTTATTTAATAACTACATTTTAACGTTTAGTATAGATTTTTTCTGAGATATCCTGCAGTAAAAAATATGCTATATGTTGACCCGGATAACCAGCTATCATTATACCAAATTTCATTAAAAGTCCTCCAGCAGTTTTTCCGTGATGCGGTAACAGACATACAGACAGACAGACAATAATTTAAAAAAACTATATAGATTCAGCCTCTGTATCGATAATAATGTCTATTTCAATAAGATTTAAAAAAATATATATAATGTACAGATTCGGTTTAGTTACAATTTTCAACCGACTTCAAAAAGGAGGAGATTCTCAATTCGACTGTTTTTTTTTTTTATTGTATGTCTATGTGAAATAAAATACAAATTGACTTTCGCAGCTTTGCCACTAATGCGAAAATTGTAAAGCCATTTATAAGGAAAAATGCCGACACGATTTAGCTCTGCTAGGCTTGCGTCTAAATGAAGCAGAAAAATGCTAAAGTATCATCGCACAATACAATTTTATACTTATATCTCAAACAAAAAATACTATCAAAAAGGTACTCGTACTATTTACCGTACGCGGTTCTAGTAAAAAAGACCGTTTTGAGTTATTCCACTTTTGCACTGATCTGCTTCTGAACAAAATATCTCCAGAACAAATGAAAAAATACTCGTTGAATAAAACAAATATATTAAACTATTAGTTTTAATCATGAAAACCTTATATAAACTTTTAAAATTCAAATAAAAAATAAATTAATTCGCAAAAAATATTTAAAATTGTATTTTTGTATGAAAAGTTAAAACCAATAAAAAAAATAATCGAAACAATGACCAAAATTTGGCCAAGTATAAAGAATAAGGATTAAAAAAAAAGCTTTTATTTAATAAAAAAAAATACAAGAATTTCCTTGAAATTACCGCCAAGATATAGGCCAAGTAATCGATGTGTGGATAAATACCAGCCAAGTTTTAGTTATTCTTCATAGTTACATAGACTGCAATCGGGGCATCGTCTGGAGGGCTTTCTTCCTCTTCGTCCATGTTTAGAGTCGGCCAGCTTGTAATCATGATTGTTATGCTTTGAGCGAGATCTTGAACGTGTTCTGTCAACAATTATTTTAATCCATACTTATATTATAAACTAGCATTGTCCGCGGCTCCGCCCGTATTCAGATGACCAAAAACCAAATTTTTAGGTTTCACATATTAGTGTACTCTTACATTGGAGTTTTTGTATTTTTTCTCAGAAATGCGATGTTCATCACACAAATGAATACCCCCAGCGGGATTCGAACCTGCGACCGCTGGCACAGCAAGTAGGGTCACTACAAACTGAGCCAAACGTGTCGTCTATATATATATACTTATATAAAGTTACGTTATGGCCAGTGAAGTTGAACTTAAATGTTGTTTTAACAATACTATAGACAAAGTGTATAAAAAAATCTCCAAAACAGTGCGGGACACTCAAGATGAGAGCAAAGAGACGCAGTAGATTAAATCATGGGGTTTGATCAAGAAAAAAGAAAGCAATAGTTAAAAATATTGTCAATAGATGGCATTATATGTATCACTTTGTTATTTTAGTTTATATAAATTAAAAAAAAAAAAAACAAAAAGATTTAAAAAAAAAATCTAAGTGAAAGAAAATAATATAATACGCTTGCAAAACAAATTTGCGTAATTTTACTGATCACTAGCGACTCACCCTCGCTTCACTCGGGTTCGTCCCTGGCTTGCTTCCCAATACAAACTTTCATCCCAATTTTCACCCCCTTTAGAGAGGATTTTCGGGATAAAAAGTATCCTATGTCCTTCCCAGGGTCTCAAACTATTTTCTTACCAAATTCCATCTAAATCGGTTCAGTAGATCCACAGATTATCCCCTACAACGTCACAAACTCACAAACTACCTCTTTATAATATAAGTGTAGATTAAGATTAGATTACATCATATGCACAGATGGCGATTTCTTTTTTTTATTGTGATCAAAAACTATTAAAGTCGCTAACAAATGTTTAGTTAAGAACTTTTTTTTTGCAATACTTATCATAGTTTCTTAAACACACACTTATATTAGCTATTATCTTTTCAAGCAAACAAAAATAGCCCGAAGAATAGCCCGAATTAGCATTGTCCAATTTCTTTTTATGGGATGGGGCATCTGTACTACTAAGTATTATTAATATAAATTATAATATTATATATATTACGAGCAGAACCCGCCGCGGCTTCGCTCGCGCAAAAACTACCAAAAAATCTCTAAAAAAGTAGGTTTTATACAAACTTTTATAATAGGGGTATTTTACCCCCTTATAGGATGAATTTCGAACAATGTTAAAACACGTATTAATAATTTGTACTGAAGAGTATTAATACCAAGTTTCGAGTTATTCTGATCAGAAATAAAGTGGATTGTATTATAACGTGTTTTCCCGTGGGAATGAGATGATCTCCCGCGATAAAACAGTAGCCTATGTCACTCTCCAGCCCTCCAACTATCTTCACACAAAAAATCACGCCAATCCGTCACTCCGTTTCGACGTGAAAGAAAGACAAACAAACACCCAAACACAAACATATAAACACACTTTTACAATATTGGTATGGATATACTATATAGTATTATGTAATCTGTCATCTGTGGTATAATAAAATTACTATATCACCTGGACCGTGATCTTGACAGTCTGCTGGAACGTCGCCGCGAAAGACTGTCTTCCTCCTCACTCAGTTTGAAAAGCACCGTTCGATATTGGTATACAAGATATGCCAAAGTTAGCAGAGCTGCTACCTGAATAATTTGTAAGAAGAAAGTTTTGAATAACATATATTAAAAACCGCTCGACCGATTTCGATAACATTTAAATGGAACCACCGGGGAAGTATACCCTTAGAAACAAAAAAAAAATTCCAAATCGGTCCAGGCGTCTTCGAGTAATTGGTGAACATATATAAAAAAAACCGATGAATTGAGAACCTCCTACTTTTTGGGAGTCGATTGAAAAGTATATAAATCACTTGCGATTTACCCTCGTTTTAGTCGAGTGCATTCCTTTTTTTTTTTTTATTCGTGGGGAAATCTCTTTATGGGTGCTCGAATGCGGAGGACGCACGGGGTATGTGGGACTCCTGTCGCGAGAAGCGTGACAGACTACCCACTAAAACAAGACAGGGCCACGGGATCGTTTGCGCATTCGACCCTGTAGTCGGGTGCATCCCTAGGGTGCCTTATGGATTTCTAATTCTTACATATAGTGCCGTCTTTTGGCATATTTCCTTACTAAAAGTAGCATAAGTGTTACTTCAGGACATGGTGTATCCGTTTAGTAACGTTCATCAAAATCTACAGCCGTTTCCGTGTGAAGGAGTAACAAACAAAAATACAAACAAACAAAAAAACAAACAAACAAACATACAAAGTATCCAACTTGCGCAAAGCAAATACAAAATATTTACGATTTGGATGAAATTTAATACACAGAAATCTGTAGTAATACAAAAATATTGTTAGGCACCCGAGCGAAGTAAGGGTTAGCCGGTAGTATACAATTTTTTTTAAGCATTTACTTCTAACTATATCACGAGGTTTTACGAAAAAAAAAGTTTAAAGGTATAATAAAAGGATAGATTAACTTTGATAAAGTTAATTTTTCCATCAAATGATGGGGACCATTAAAAAGGTTAATAGACATGTAATATGACAATAATATGTTTCATGAGAATCTATGACATCTCCAAATAGCTTGTCCGTTTGTCTGTTGGTGGATTTAGTTCTACTCAACCACGCAATACACATAATTTCGTAATGAATATTCGAGTATCCACAAAAAACAAAATCACCGGCATTTGCGAGTGAATTTTATAATAGTCGTGCTCCGTCTTAACAAACAATTAATTATTAAAATTCATAGAAAAATACTAACTATGTAGTATATTTATATGTAAATAGTTCGCTATTATATGCACGTACGCACACCTAAAAATCTATACATATAATAAAATTGTAACTAAGCCGAATCTGTACATTAGATATTTTTTTGGAAAATCTTATTGAAATAGGCAAACATTATTATTGATACAGATGCCGAATCTATAGTTTTTAGATTTTTTGTCTGTCTGTCTGTTACCGCATTGCAGAAAAACCACTAGAGGGATTTTGATGAAATTTGGTATGATGATAGCTGGTTATCCGGGTCAACATATAGGATACTTTTTACCGCGGAAAATATCTCATTTTTAAGATAAAATATACAAAAACTGCAATGTAAGAGTATACTAATATGTAAAACCTAAGAATTTGGTTTTTGGTCATCTAAACGCGGGCGGAGCCGCGGGCAATGCTAGTATAATATACAAAAAAAAAAGATTTTTTTACGACAAAATACAAAAAAAGACATTACAAAACACTTGGGCAAAGGTAGACTGGTGAACTCTAAAAGAGATTTAATACAATAAATCAGTATGAAAAAAAGATGATGCTTAAATAAAGAAAATTATAAACTTTATCATTTAAAGATTATTTAGTAGTTTAATGTGAAGAAGCAGATGAACAACCCCCCCCCCTCCTCCCCTCCTCTCCCTCCTCCCTAGAAATAAATCTGCCGCCGCCCATGTAATTGATACAATTAACGTTTGAATAGAACTATTTAGCCATTAGGGTCGGATACTGTATAGGAATATCAATCAAAGTCGTGATTGTACAAAATTATTATAACTTTAGTGTGTCGTAGAAGCGACATCGTCGATATTAAGGTACAAAAAACTATAATAATACCGTTTTTTTGAAGTAAATCTTATTTAGGAGTGATTGAGGGTTACAATACATTGGAAATTGAGTGTCCCTACTTACATTTTAAATAAAACTATCTTTTCGGATTTTGTCGCGGACTTATTTGGATTTTTGTTTCCCGACGTTTCGAATGCTTTACAGCATCCATGGTCACGGGAGAGACTATGCTGTAAAGCATTCGAAACGTCGGGAAACAAAAATCCAAATAAATCCGCGACAAAATCCGAAAAGATAGTTTTATTTAAAATGTCAAATATTCGCGTAAATCTAAGAAAGTATTATGTCCCTACTTACGTTTCAACGTTTAGTATAGATTTCTCAGAGATGCGATATTTTCCCGCAGTAAAAAGTATCCTATATGTTGACCCGGATAACCAGCTACCATCATACTCTTCATTAAGATCTCTTAAGTGGATTTTCCGTGATAAGGTCACAGACAGACAAAAATTTTAAAAACTAAAACTATAGTTTTGAATCGATAATAATGTCTATTTCAATAATAAGATTTTCCAAAAAAATATTTAATGTACAGATTCGGCTCAGTTAGAATTTTATTATTGATGTAAGCAAATCCTGCAGTTTATTACAGCGGCAGGGTTTAGTGGCATACGACGAGAAATGGTCGAAGGGATACTTATAGCTGTAAAATAGAAATAAAAAGGCCTGAAAAAACCTTCTAAGATTTCAAGACCTAAGCCCTAATAGACCAGTAACTTTCAGAAGACCTGAAGATGAGTAAAAAGAAGAAGAAGTTAGAACCTACCGCAATATTGAGCAGTCGGACCCGAAAAAAGTCAATTGTCCACTCAATAAGAGACTCCATCGCGACAGCCTATTCTATCTATTCGGACTTCTGTACACAGACTTCTTTACATGGCTTAAAGCATACCGTGGCTGAAAATTTATACTTTTTCGAAAGGTATTTTACTGTTTGACCATTATTTTTACTGGAAACAAGAATTTTGAGTTGCTTGAATTGACAGTGTTGCTGTCTATATTTGGAATTTCTAGGTTTTGTAATTGTGGCCAGTATTTTTTTTTGTTTTGTTTTGGTTGAGAAATATAATGGCAAAGGTTTGGTTGCGAAGGGTTTTAAAGGTATTGTTATTTATTATATGTACGTATAATATATATTTTTTTATTTTTTTCCGGTAAGCTTTAAGCTTTTATTCTACATAATATAATTATTAAAAAAAAAAACAAAAATTATATAAATATAAATTCTTTAATTTGTTTTTTTTTTCATAAATATTTCAATCTATAGATTGATTATAGTGATAAGTTTACTTTATAAATTAGTTTTTTTAATACATGCCTAGCGATTCACCCTCGCGTTCTCTCGGGTTCGTACCTAGATACGTTTTATGGGTTAATATAGATTTATCTGAGAAGAGATATTTTCCCGCACTAAAAAGTATCCTATATGTTGACCCGGATAACCAACTATCATCATACCTCATCAAAATCCGTCCAGTGGTATTCTCGATGCGTTGTCAGACAGACAGATAGATAAAAATGCTAAAAACTATAGATTCGGCCTCTGTATCGATAATAATGACTATTTCAATCATATTTCTAAATAAAATTATTTAATGTTATTTATTATATACATATAGATTACCTATTTAAAACTTCAAACTTCACGTAAATTTATAATAGTATTGATTTCAATTAAATTGGCCGCCGTGGCCGAAATTGGTGAAGATATGATATAAGTATATATAAAAAAATTTCAGATTCCTCTGGTTTATCCTAACTGTAGCTGCCTTCGCTGGTGCTACGTACTGCGCTTTAAATCAACTCACTCGTTACATTTCTGAACCTGTGGTAGTTTCCTTACAACGGGACTACCGCAGTTGGACCACAGCGTTCCCAGCCGTTACTGTATGCTATTTGGAAAGAGTCGATGGGAATAAGGCAAGGGAGTTCATATCAAGGTATGTATTCAGCCTTTTTTAACGTCCCACTGCTGGGCGTGGGCCTCCCTTCAATACGAGGGGGTTCAACCCATAGTTGCTGAATACAAACTGAGCCAAACGTGTCGTCGTTGGTCAACGCGAGTTTTTTATTTTTATTTTAATAACTACAATTACAGGAAATGGAATATAACAGAAGAATCTGATCAAGACAAGTACCAGTACTATTATGAATTCATCGAACTAATAGCTGAAGTGTCATTTAGGAGAAACTTGCAAAATTTTTGGAAATATCAAAATGATGATTCTGTCAACGATATTGATTTACTAAATCTGGCGCTCTATTTGCATCCTAAATATCCTATGGAAACTATCACTTCGGATGAAAGGAATGTAGGTTATGTTTAGATTTTAATAATTAAAAAAGTACAATAAAATTAAAAAAAAAAAACTATAGTCACACTGAATTATTTATTTTATTTATTTTATTTTTAACCCCCGACGCAAAATAATGTTTTATAAATATGACGTCGATGTCTGGCTGTGTGGGTATGTGTGTCTGTCTGTGGCATCGTAGCTCTCAAACGGATGGACCGATTTCGATGCGGTTTTTTCATTTGAAAGCCAGTTCTTAGCTATGTTTGGTTTATATCGGTCCAGCAGTGTAAGAGTATCAGGTCTTTTCCAAAATGATGTAAGGCATTTTGGCGTATGATTGCTCGATTAAGTGCTTCACGCGTGCCAGTGTAATCGTTAGATGACAATTAATTTGCGTAGAAGTTTTTTTAAATATTTAATTTATAAATGCATATATTAAAGTTTAAAAGTGCATAAGGTTCATTGAGTTTGATGTTTCAAGGTGCAATGGGTTCAAGTGATGACAGAAGAAGGTTTATGCCAGACCTTTAATGGACAATATGCGCAACATCAGAAAACAGACAACAAATCTTGGAAACCTCTTGATTTGATGACTTGCCACTACCACAGCGAGACCTGTTACGTGACGATAAGTTCTATGACGTACGCTGCTAGAGTAAGTGGTTGGCAATTTTAATGATATTTAGATATTAATTTTATTTGTAGGTAAAACAAAAATATTACAAGAGCAAAAAACCCCGACGAAAATGCGAACTAAGTAAATAGACATAACTAAGATTTAAAATGCAATGACTTGTACTGTATTCAGCCCTTTTTAACGTCCTACTGGTGGGCACGGACCTCCCTTCAATATTAGGGGCATCAGGCGGCAGGCCATAGTCCACCACGTTGGCCAAGTGCAGGCGGACTGAATATGTCTTTTGAAAACTTGCTAGGTTCTCTCAGACATGCAGGTTTCCTCACGATGTTTTCCTTCACTGTTAAGACAAGTGGTAATCATGTTAGAAATGATTCGCACATGAAAATATCAGAGGTGCGAGACCCGGGGTTTGAACCCGCTTTACTCGGTTTCCCAAGCGAGCGCGTTACCACTGGGCTACCACTGCCTTGCAATGACTACTAACAAATTATCATTTAAGCCATTTGTGTTTAAATATTGGCATAAATTATTATTATATAAATAACTATTTTATATAACACGTTACCTAAAATAATTAATTAAAGAATAAAACTTTTCTTAAATTCAGTCTGCATAATATACCAAATTTCATCAAAATCCGTCCTGTGGTTTTCTCGTGATACTTTCCCAGACAGACGGACAGACAGACAAAAATTCTAAAAACTATAGATTCGGCCTCTGTATCGATAATAAATAATAATGTCTATTTTCAATAAGATATTACAAAAATATATTTAATGTACAGATTCGACGTAGTTACAATTTTGTTATATGTATAGATATTAGATATTATCCCATGAACACTAGTTATCTTTATAAATTAAAGACAAATAATTAAAAATTTGCATTGTTCCTTCAAAATAAGCTGAACCAAACCATAGCGCGTTTCAGAATACTACTAGCGCCATCTAGTTGAGTCTAAATGTAATTCGGCAGATTTCTTCTAGTAAGACATTATTAAAGGTAAAAAAACGCAGTTTATTATTTATTTCGCTAATAAAAATTAACTTTTTTATTTATATTTGAATAGTATTTCATACACTCGCCGTTCGACATCGCCACTGCTATATCTAACCCTACTGGAGATGTTTTTTCTGGAGATAAATTAGTCACTGACTTTAAGGTATGTTTAAATTGCTTAAATTAAATCTAATAATAATAAACTAGCGACTCACCCTCGTTTCGCTCGGGTTCGTCCCTAAGTACGTTTTAACGGTTATTATGAAATACAAATCTTTGAATTTCTCGGCTTTTCTGTACTATAATATGCATGTATTATACATATAAATATTCCTCTTGAATCACTCTATCTATTGCTGAAAACTGCATTAAAATCCGTCGAGCAGTTTAAAAGATCTAAGCGAACAGACAGCGGAAGCGTCTTCATTTTATACCTACTATGTAAAGTTGAGCAATTCTTGTATAAATATAATTTTTTTCCTAAAAATTTGCCGTCCTACTAGCTAGCCCCGATTGCCTCTAATGTAAATCTAGCTCTGAATACTGTCATGAAATTGCCAAAGAGAGAAAGTTCTTGTTCTTGTTGAGATAATTTAATAATTATTTCTCATTTTTATTATATTTTACTTAATCTTTTATAATTGATACATAAAAAAAATAAACTTCTCCATTGATAAATAGCTTAGCTATTATGGGATTCTTTGCATTCTAGGTAGTGGAAATCGAAGCCGCAGACAGTATAGAAGGATTGACAGCTGAACAACGAAGATGTAAATATCCAAATGAGTGGCTCGACAAATCTATAAAAGTAAGCAAACGTATAATATAAATACTAGCGACTCACTCTGGCTTCGCTCGGGTTCGTCCCTAGCTTGCTTCCCCATACAAACTTTCATCCCCATTCTCACCCCCTTAAGTATGATTTCCGGGATAAAAACTATTACACTCACTCTTTTCTCATGAGATTTTTTATTTTTTCATTTTAGTAACTTTTTTTTTAATTTTCTTCCATTACAAAACTTCCTTACAATAACAAACGCTATAAAAAAAATTATCCAATTTGGTGCAGTTGATCGGAAGTTATGCGCGTACATACATTTCGGTGATTCATTTTTATTTATATAGATTTACTCTTTGGTCGACTTCAACAATGGGGTATATTTTTGTGTATCACAATGGTTTCACCGATCAATATATTTTTTCATTTTTTTTGAAATAAAAGGTTATTAAGCCATAACATATTCATGGACGAATTAGAGACTCGTTCATGACTATATTATATATACCTAGTTGATAAAAAAACATAAAAAATCGGGTTTTTTCTGGAGAGCTTTTTTCAAGAGTACAGAATTCAATATCATTCAAATAGTTTCCGTAAAAGATTAATTCTTAACAGTTCTCTGTTTATTTTTAAACCTACCATACTTTTTGGTTGAATAGTACCAAGTTTACATGTGAAAATTCCGACACTGTCAAGGACAAGGCTAGTGTACACTGAAAGTGAAAGTGGTACGGAGTACGGACATTGACACAGAGAAAGAATAAATTTTTATTTTTTTAATTGATTATACTTTATTCGATTTTTAATTTTAGTAAAATGTAAGAAATTAGAAAATATACTTCAATAAAACATTTATCAGAAAAAAACCGTGCTAAGATTTTTTTCATGTTATTTTTCAACGTAGTGAAAAAAAAACAATCGTTTTTTTTCATGTTACATCACTTTAGTCCGGAATGAAAGAATAACAAACATACACACATACTAACTTATATTTAAGATGATGATTATGATGTCCTCCCGATCGATTTCAACCACAGCGGCCAATCTCACTGAGACCAGCCAGCGCAGGAAATTTTATAGTGTAGAAACAACGTGTACTCTCTGTCCCTTTCAAACTCAAATTCCAATGGAACGATAGTTTGACACTCAGGACCGATTCGATGAGTGCTATTTGAGGCACGGGGATGAAATTCAATGTTTCAACTTCGTGTGGTTACTGAAACTTTCTTAACAGAAAGACTCAATAATTAAACTTGGCCTAACCAGGCATTGACTCGGCCAGACTCGAATCCAGGACCTCCGGATTTGCGGTATACATGCTATCGACTACACCACTGAGGCAGAATATAATATATACAAATAAATGTTAAATTTATAAAAATAGTGTAGGTAATACTAATATGATATATTTTAAACAGGCTTACAGCTTTGGTTTATGTATGATGCATTGTCGCACTCGGTTGGCGATCATGTTTTGTGGGTGTAAATAAATGTTAAATTTATAAAAATAGTGTAGGTAATACTAATATGATATATTTTAAACAGGCTTACAGCTTTGGTTTATGTATGATGCATTGTCGCACTCGGTTGGCGATCATGTTTTGTGGGTGTCGTCCCTATTTCCATGTTAAAGGTGGTAAGTTAAATTTATTATTTATTTATTAGCTTTTTAATGGAAACAAACTGTAGGTGTAATAAATAATTACATTATAAAACATATAAAAGTAATTCTAAAACGAACCAAGTTTCCACAGATATCCAATAAATAAAATAAAATATGTGTTTAACTTTTTTTAACGTCCCACTGCTGGGCACGCCTCCCTTCAATACGGGGAGGATCAGGCCATAGTCCACCACCCCACTTTTAAAATCTTGCTAGGTTCTCTCAGACATGCAGGTTTCCTCACGATGCTTTCCTTCAACCTAACACAAATGGTCATCATATTGGAAATGATTCGTACATGAAATTATCACAGATCCGGAATTTGAACCCACTTCACTCGGTTTCACAAGTGACTGCATTACCACTGGGCTACCACTGCTATTAAATATATATGTATAATTTTTCATAGTAAATGCAGATTAAAGAATTGGCATCCACACGTTCGAAATGTGCTGAACCAAACCATAGCGCGTTTTAAAGTACTACTAACACCATCTAGTTGAGTTTTTCGAAGCTAAATTTGATAAAAGGAGAAGAACTAAATTAGAGAGATTTTTTTATTTTATTGTGTGTATGTTACGCGATATCTTTGTTAAACTAAATTTCGTAATTCTTTTTTATTAATAAATAGGTTTTATACAAAAAAAAAAAAAAATGTTGTCTTTATTTTAAGTCACGTATGTATCTTTTATTAGATACATTTTCATTTAATATTACCAAAAAAAATTATAACAAATATAAACTCCTTTTTTAATTATTTATATCACATATTTTTTTGTTATTATATAATTTAATCTAACTTTTTGATAAAAATTAAAAGTATATCAGTACCTTAGACGATAGATACTATGCACATATTTTATTAAAATGCTTAACCTCTTTAGCTGTTAAAACTCGGTTGGTAATATTAAATGAGAAAAAAAATGACACTGTCACAATATCTAATTGTCTACCTTTTAAAATCTCAGCCCCAAAACCGTCTTATAAAATAAAATACATTATTTTATTTTTTTAAATAATTTTGTGTTTAATATTTTTCTATATTATTGTGCTTTCCCGCCATTTTACAAACAAGATGGCGAAATGTGTGATGCACACGGCATGGCGTGCATCGGTCGCAACGTCGAAATCCTTATCAATTTACCAAAAAATCTTGCAAAATGTCCATGCATGCCACAATGCGAAGAACTCAATTATTACTCACACACAAAAAAGATTTTTAATCGGTAAGTTTTATTTTCAGATTAAATATTTATTACTGTCATTTATATAAAGAAAAAATAATTTTAAAATATATAACAGTTTTCTGTTAAAGATTTCATTAGAATTTCTAAGTTGAATTTATAATGTTTTATGTAGATTTATGTAGGTATTACTTGTAGATAGATTATTTACCTATGTATGTAAATAAATAAATGTTGTCTGATGCAGTCGCGATTTGGAACATCCATAAATTTAAAAAATAAATATTTGAAATTCTACTTGTCTTAAAGCGAGGGTATGCGAGAGTTTCAGGCCCCGTGGTATTTTGTTGAGGGTTCCAAACAGCATACGAGTCATGAAGACATAAAAAATATATATTTACAATTTAAAATTAAACTACATATAAACAAAAAAAATATTAAAAATAGGAAATAATATATTTGTTGGCGCATGATGGACATAATGCCTCTAAAAAAAATTCTTAGTGTTTTACAATGTAGTTAAATAAAAGAATGTTTAAATCACAATTCTCCAAATATTATAATATGTAGCTGATGTAATCATGAAGTAAGGAGGTGGCTGGTGGATGGTGGAACTCTTTATTGGTCAAATAGTAAAACGTTCGAGTTCGAGGTCATTTAATTCATTTTAACAAGTGTCATACATTGTAGAAAGCACTCGACGGCATAGTTTTAGTCTTTTTGTACCGAATATACGATGGATTTTTAATTATGCCAATTTTGTTTTATCTACGTTTCATTTCCACTACATACTGATTGATAGATGTATGGAAAATATCAATGGTTATATATACAGCTAGGTATATATATTTTTTATTTAACCTATTTTATTTTGTGCTAACATGAATGACACTGATGAGGAGCCCGCGGAGGCAGTAGCTACATTCACACTGATGCCGCCTAAGTTTCGTCTACATCGTGACATCATATTCAGCCTTGATGATTTGTTTTGTACGTTTTTTTTTCTAATCTCGTAAAAAAATACTGTAAACATTACAATTGTCTTATCGTGACTGGGATCTTTTGATTTTGCTCTTTCACAATCCATTCAAGGATAAATATGCCAAAAATGTGCAAAATATATTAATTTAATCTTATAAAATTTGTATTTTAAAGTGTCAAAAAGCTATGACAATTTCAATTTCGTGATTTTTTTTAAAGCTTCCCTCGGCGGTACAACAGCTCTCTTCGTTGGAGCCAGCGTTTTGACAGTGGTTGAGTCGATACTCTTCATTATTAGATACATTGTGTCGACTTTGGTTGAATGGCATCATAAAAGAAAATTTAAATACCAAAAATAATTATATTATTTCTCTTGTAGATGTTTTTGTGACAGTGCTACCTATCTAAATAATAAAATTAAAAAGAAAGATAAAAAAACGTGTGTGTGTATTTATGTACGCACTTAAGAGGTTATACTTCTTTGGCGTAAAAGAACAAAAATAGCTAAAGATTTCATCCCGTATGTCACAACTCTCTGTTTTTAAAAGGAATGATCAATTAATAAAATAATTAAATAAGACATATTAGGCATATTACAGTCATATAATATAATATTGTATATCATTTGTCAGACAATAACAACGGTTACCATGGCAATAAACAGTTATCAGCTAACTTCATCATGTCGCTTTTTGGCTGTTGGTGTGCGCGCGCATCGTAAAAATTTTACTCTCATATTTTTTTCCAAATGGCCCAAAAGAAGTATAACTTCAAAAAAAAACTTAATATGATATGATTTTCCGACCAGCCTTGCCGCGCCGGTAGGAAATCTGCTCACTCTATTGAGTAGTACTATTTTGTTAGGATATTTTTGATGACGTAAATAATAGTAAAAATTCTTAGTTTAAATAGCTAAGGTAGATTTAGGATTAAATAATACAACAAAAAAAATGTTTTAATGTAGCTAAGCATAGAATAAATTACTTACTTAAAAGATAATTCGAATAGTTATCATAATTTATCTAGTTAAAAATATAATTAAATTGTTCTTGTAGATTAGAAGTAAATAACATTAGAAATAGTAAAAGTTTTTTCATGTAACAATGTCTGTAGTAGCAATGAATGTATGTGTTTGGCATAATATAGTATTTGAATATAATATTGGCTTTTTTATTCGATCATAAGCTTATACCTAGTTGTTTTTTTTTAATAATTAAAGTCGCCATGTCAATGATTTAATTACGATCTTACGCGCGTCGCCTGCGCTGATAAACTGAAACTCGCCGTCGACGCGCATGTCATGAATGTACGCCATCTTAGTTGATAAATTAAAAAAAATGCAGATTACTGGATACTGTGTACTTAAAAGACTGTAGTTTACTATGCGGTCGCAGCTTGAAGCAGTCGATACTCGATAATACCTGCTTCAAAGTGCCCGTGTATGGCCAGCCTTACGTGAAATACTTTGTAATTTTGAGTTTTGTATATTTTTATTTGATTGCAAAAGTAATTTTGAAGAAACTTTATAAGTAATGTGGCAATATATTATTTTATTTTGATAAATGAATGGAACCGGTCTAATAATGATACGACATGGCACATTCAAATATTCACACAGACTACATAAATATGATCTCATTGTATGATTGTACCTATTTGAAAATTAGTAAATTTATTAAAGTAGTGCAAAAACTTGATAGTTGTTTATATTCTTAAGTAATTTTTATTCTAAATATGTTCATCTCAAGAAAATGTAAGTACCTATAGACAATAATAAATTAATAATACTAATGTATCATCAATCATTCGAAAATTTTGAGGTTATATATAAATTCAATAAATGTATAATTTAAAATAATGCAATTTAATAAATTATTATTGTTTTAAATATAAAACAATGCAATAACTAAACGCGCAAAATTAACTGTCAATGTCAAGAAGCCCCGCCTTCGGAGAACTAATGTTTTTTATTTTCGAAAATCATAACATACATTAGATAATCGAACGGACGAACGACCGAAAATATGTTTTTATACATTATTTCTTATAGTTATAGTGGTATATTTTATTTAATAACATTACTGTTTACGTTTATATCGACTTTACACGCAGTTCTTCCTCTGGGACTGGATGTTGGGCTGCTGGGCTTCGCGGCGTATTATTTTACAAGGTTGAGGAAGCCTGATCAGTACAATGTGGAAAGTATATTTGGTCCGGAGCCAGGGTCGAAGGAAGCTGAGACGTATCCAGAAAAAGTGGTTAAAGGAATTGCACACAGAGGCGCGGGATGGGATGCGCCAGAAAATACACTGGAGGCTTTTAAATATGTAAGTTATTACTTAAATATTGATCTCCTCCATAAACCCACTTTTCCTAGATGTATTATTGCAAAAACACATTAATATTTCTTTTTAAAGTTGACTTTTTTTTAAATGTTCAGGTAATCCAGGACCGTCAATTTGTGTCCTTAGTTTTAAATCAATTTAATTGAAATTGTGTGAGTGTGATGAACATACATCCAAATATATTTGCGTGTTTATTTCATCAAGAGTATTTTTGTCCATGAGTTAAAAAAGTGGTATTCTATTAAACAATAAGAAATTGGTATATTTTTTTTACATTCTTGCTTATAAAATGTTTTAATTCGTTTTACCTAGTTTTTTTATAAGCTTGCTCTTTGTATATACTTAATGTTCTAGTCAAGAACTGCTTATTAAAGGTTTTAGCGGTAAAAAATCTTATTGACACTTGATATCTAATTTTTTTTTGTATTGTTGCTTCACAATTATCACTTCAACATTGTAATAATAATAATTTTAATTATTTCAGTGTGTAGAAAGCGAGTGTAATTTTGTGGAATTAGATGTGAGGACCACAAAAGATGGTCAGCTCATACTCCTTCACGATGAAGGCTTAGAACGTCTGACTTGGAGTTCTGAGATCAAGGATGTTAAACAAACCGATTGGGATAGCATAAAAAATATTGATGTGGGTGCGCTACATGTTAATAGGTAAGTTTTGATATAATTAAAAATAGCTTTTAAATATTAAAAGTATTGTATTTGTACTAACAATATAACTGCGCAGAAGTCTCAAGGAAAAACAGTTTTTGTTATCCCTTTATTGTTTCCTACTTTGCTATTAAAATTGCCTACATTAGTCTCATCTATACAAATATTATAAAGAAGTAAAGTTTGTAGGTTTGGGGCCATTCAAAAATTCAAGTATTACGTAAGCAGAATTTTAGTAATTATTAACCCCTTCCTCCCCCTTGTCAGCAAAAGTGAGCTTACTTACTCCCTCTCCTGTGCTTACGTAACAAACAAACATTATGACTCAAATATTTCGGGAAATCTCTGTACATGCTTTCCCGTTTTGAGCATAGACAAGTAGGTTTGTCATGTGTGCTCTGAACAAATTGATTTGACAAATCAAAATCTAAATTTTAATTACATATTTTAAATAAATTAAATATTGTTAACATAATCACCATTCAGTTTCCCCCATCCCCTATGTCATCAAAAGTAAGCAAAGCAAAGACCCCCCACCCCCCCTTTGGTGCGTACATAATACTTGAATGGTCCCATTGGATGTAGGAGGTAATACTTTCTAAGATTTACGCGAATATTTGACATTTTAAATAAAACTATCTTTTCGGATTATTTTGCGGATTTATTTTGATTTTTTATACCCTACGTTTTGAATACTTTGCAGCAATCATGGTCACGGGAGAGAGTGAGGTATAGATGTCTCAAACACATATACTTGTTACAGACAGTGCCTGCCCACTATTTTACAAAACATAATTTTATTTTATCGCAAAAAATAAAAAGTATGATTAGTTGTTGCTCTAACATTGTCTGCAGAAGGTTTCAAACTTAGGGTGCCATTTTGCTTTTTTTTTTATGTCTCTTATTTTTTTTACAGGCATAGATTTAAAGAAGTACATCTTTGTCTATTAGATGATGCAGTGGAATATTTGCTGTCCAAAAATGCCAAAATGATAATTGATGTCAAAGGTCACGATAAACAGGTAAGCAAATATATTAAACATCTATATATATATATATATATAGTAGTAGTATAAAACAAAGTCGCTGTCTATTGAATGCCAAGCACTAGTTGTGATGCTGGTGGTCTTGACTTAATAAAAATGCGCTTTGGTGGTAATATCGACTGTATTATCGCTGTTGAGAGTTGAGACGATCGTATGTGTGCACACGGCGAGAGGTGGTGAGCGAGACCCGGGCGTTGAGAGGGCACGGCGCGTCGCTGAAGCGACCGTCGCGAAAACATGTGACGTAGGAACACTGTCTCTGTCTGTCTGTTTCTCCGATTAATTCTAAACCATGCAACGTATTTTGTTGTTTTTATAAAAACCAACCTAAAAAAAACCATGTAAACCCACTTTTAATTTTTTTTTTTATTATAGGTCATTAATGGTATTGTAGAAGCGTTCTCATCTCGTCCCACGCTTTATAAGCATGCAGTTGTCACTACCTTCAATCCACTTGTACTATACCAGGTATGTTTTAGTGGTTTTTAAAAGTACTAGATACACAATCAGCGACAAAAAATGTCCTCACCGAATGACCGCTCATTTGAACATTTGAGCGCGCTTTTTATTTTAATTTTTGTGAATACAACTTTAAGTATTGAATTTAAGGTTCAATTTACATTGTTGTATGTTTATTTCAACTGGAACAATCACCTAAACACAATTGGTGACAGTTTTAAGAGAACTTTTGCATGAGATTGTGTATCTAGTATTTTTTTGATCGATGAATTTAGTATATAAAGTTATCCTGAATCAATCATTAAAAAAAAAAGTTTTTGATAGATATCAATATACGAAAGAGACAAAGGTTTTAGATGTGTCAAAGGTTAGGTCATATTGTAGTTGTATCAGATGGTACCTAGTCATAAAATTGATGATTAAAAAGAAAACTAAAATGGCACTGAAGTACCTTACTATATTTGGTAATTTAGAATTTTAAACATTTATTGGCTGTAAAACATTGGATACGTTGGAAATAAAAAAAATATAACTAAACCTAAATAAAAAAAATTATATGTAGTGCAATATGACCCTATTTTATTTTATAGCTAGCGAAACACCCTCGCATCGCTCGGGTTCTTCCCTAGGTTGATTCCCCATACAAACTTTTATCCCCATTTTCACCCCCTTAAGGGATCATTTCCGCAATAAAAAATATCATATGTCCTTCCGAGCATCCCAAATTATCTTACTAAATTTCATCTAAATCGGTCCAACAGTTTTTGAGTTTATTCATTACAAACATACAAAAATACATATCTTTCCTCTTTATAATATTAGTGTAGATTATAATGATATATAAAATATAATTTCAGATACGCAAAAAAGATCCTGAGATAGTGGGAGCGATCAGCTACCGGCCATATTGTTTTAGTGCGAAGCAGTATGATGCAGAACATGGACCTAGGCATCCTAGGTGAGTCCTAAGACCTTACTAGGATCACAGTTTTAGACACTGTTTATATTCTATATGGATTTACTTATTTTGGTTTTATTACCGGTTAGTATGGATTTTGAAGAGAATATATATATCTATACTAATATTATAAAGCTGAAGAGTTTGTTTGTTTGTTTGTTTTGCTGAACGCGGTAATCTCAGGAACTACTAATCCGATTTGAATAATAATTGTTGCATTAGATAGCCCGTTAAGCGAGGAAGGCTATAGGCTATATGTCATCCCGGAAAATGTACAGTTCCCGTGGGATAGTTTGTTTTTGTCTTGGGACGAACCCGAAGCGAAGCGATGGTGAGTCGATAGTTATATATATACATAGATATGATGAGTTGTTGTGGGTTGTATTATAACATGTTTTCCCGTGGGAATGAGATAGTCTGGAAAAAAAAACTGCGGTAAAAAGTGTCACTCTGTTTCGATGTGAAAGAAGAATAAACAAACAAACAAATAAACACGCTTTCACATTTATAATAATAAGTATGAATTTATTAATCTCCAGACATGACAATCTACTATGGCACGCGGCGTCTCGTCTCGCGGACGTGGCGCACTCGCAGCTGTGGCGGGCGGCGGCGCGCTGGTGCGGGGTCAGTGCTGTGCTGGTGCACAAGGATATTGTGTGCCCGTTAGTATTGAGTTGGGATTGGCTTGTAACTGACTAACTCTTAATTAACTAGTTGACTAACTCTTAATTAACTAGTTGACTAATTAATTAACTGATTGACTAAGTAATTCACTAATTGACTAATTAACAAACTAAATAATTAACTAATTGTTTAACTTACTATGTATGTGTGCCCGTGAATATTGGAGTGTAGTTATAGTACGGCTTTAACTAACTCTAACTAATTGCCCAAATTATTAACTCTTAACTAATTAACTGACTTACTATTTATTCTTGGATATGAGAGATCAAAAACGCGAAAGGAAAGACATTTTTTATTATGGAAATATTTTTTTTTTTTTTAACTATTTCCTTTGTTTAACTTTATTCAATTGGAATTATAAAATCATTTTTGAATTGTCAATTATAATTTAATATTATAATGTTTATAACTCTTTTTTTTAATGAAGATAAAGATTTTAATTTATATTAGCAAATAGCGTCTCACCCTTTCACCTACGTTTTAATTTCTTTTTCTGTGTCTAAAATAAAAGTAGCCTAAGTCACTCTTTGTAATACCAGCTATGTGCCAGTGAAAGTCCCGTCAGAATCGGTCCAACCGTTTCGGAGATTAGCCGGTACAGACGGGCAGACAGACAAGCAAATACACAGACAAACATGTTAAAAGTTGTGTTCTTCCTATGAGTACCGTATATACTTTCATATACATTTAGTAAAATTCTTGTTATTTTGACATTACAAACAGACTTCAATTTTATTCATCTGTATGAAAGGACGCACCCCGAGCTAAGCGAGGATAAATCGCTAGTTTATAATATTACTAGCATTGCCCGCGGCTCCGCCCACGTTCAGATGAGCAAAAACCAAATTCTTAAATTATGTAAAAACATATTAGTATACTCTTACATCGCAGTTTTTGTATTTTTTCTAAAAAAAAGTATCCTATATGTTGACCCGTATAACTAGCTATCATCATACCAAATTTCATCAAAATCCCTCCAGTGGTTTTTCTGTGATGCGGTAACAAACAGACAGACAAAAATTCTAAAAACTATAGATTCGGCCTCTGTGTCGATAATAATGTCTATTTCAATAAGATTTTTCAAAAAATATTTAATGTATAGATTCAGCTTAGTTATAATTTTATTATATGTATAGTTGTTTATGCATGCAGCGCCATCTCTCAACAAACATACAAATATCGCATTTTAAGTGTTCCTATAATATTGTATTTCAGAAGTGAAGCGTCATATTGGAGGTCGCTGTCAATACGTTGTATTGGCTGGAGCGTGAATAGGCCTTTAGAGAAGTTGTATTGGCGAGGTAGTCTGAAGTGTCCATATTTAGCAAACACTTTGTTAGGAGAGCCTAAGGTAAGTGTGAGTGTGAGTGTAAGTGATGACGACACGTTTGGCTTAGTTTGTAGTGACCCTACTTGCTGTGCCAGCGGTTGAGGGTTTGAGTCTCGTTGGGGGAGTTCATTTGTGTGAAGAGCACGAATGTTTTTACTCCAGTCATGGGTGTTTATATTTATAATATGTATGTATTTAAAGTTATATATGTGTAGTGCATCAACTGTCTGGTATCCATAACACAAGCCTCTGGAACTAGATGGTGCTGTGCGTTAATGTACCAACATATTTATTTGTTTAAGTTGGTCCAACTGCAAGGTGTTTAGTTAGAACATTTATTTGGTCCATCTTTCTTTTTTGGGCCTATTTTTGTGTTTGAAAATTTTGAGTCCGTTATTGTGTGGTGTTTTTTGGTCCATGGTGTTGGTGGTATAGTTAAGCTGTGACATTTTAATGGGTCATCTTTTTTATAGACCTTTTTGAATTGGATAATTTTCAGCGGTTTATTGGAAATGTTTAATATATATTTAATATAATATATGTACATACTAATGTTGAATTTTATTCAGTCAAAATTAAAGAAAAGTGTAAGAACTAAGAATATCAACTGTTAGCTTCATCTTTATACTAACCTAACTTGGTGGATACTTCTAATAAATGACGCAATATATTGCTTAAAGAGCCCTAGGTCGTGCAATGTATTGGTTCAAATTGGCTGTCCATTATAGCTTGATTTTTTTTAAATATTTGACTTTGAAAATGCTTAAGGTCCATCTTTCTTTGGAAACTTTAAAAAAAAGAGAAAAGCATGATTTGAAAAACCTAACTAGAAAAACATCTACCCCTAAGAAGATCATAGTATTGAATACGGTGTTGTTTGTTTATAAATATTTTATTATTTATTGTTACAGATAGAACAAAAGAAGGAACAGCCATCGGACGATATCTCCGGGCCGATTGTAGAGAATGCCGCTAGATGTCGCTAGTTTGCTAAATTTTAAATTTAGTACGAAAAGTAACGTATTCATAGCAATAAATGTGCAATTTAATATATTTCCCTATTTATATAACTTATTCTTCTAAAGCGCGCGGCTTTCTGTCAATGTCATTATTTGACAGTTCTTTTTTTTTATTTACACGCATTAAGACGCAGAACAAAGAACATAACATAACATTAATTTATTGAAACGAGTATTTATTGTTTTAATGCCAAAAGATTTAGCTGATCTAGAATTTGGTGAATGTTGGTCCAATATAAGTTGACGGTATGGACCAATATTTGGTCCAGCGAATTTTTGACATTTCTCAATTTATGCATTTTTTGGTAAATCTTAAGATATTTTATAAGATGCGGTCTCAAAGTAAACACACAGTATCTAAAAAAAATGTATATTTTCCTTTCAACTTGTCTCACTTCGCTCGATAGCGTTCGTACTTGCCTCCAGCACAGACTATATATTAGAGATATTTTTAAATATTATTTTATTTAAATTAAAGAAAAAGAAAAAAGTAAAAAAAAATATCTCATATAAATTACAAGAAAATGGTCCATTTTTGAGGGTTGAATGGTTACTTTAAAAAAGTAATCTATACATATAATGAAATTCTGAGTTGAATCTGTACATTAAATATTTTTTGGAAAATCTTATTGAAATAGTTATTATATTGTTATCGATACAGAGGTCGAATCTATAGTTTTTAGACATTATATAAATCTCGTATATTTTCAGCTTTTTTCTCGTACGTTTTTAAATAATTAAAAAGAATGCTATAATCCATAGGTTTTAATTAATTTACATGAAAATTCCCAGTATTTTTTGATATATTTAGAGTTAAAACGATTTGGAAATGGAATATTTTACTATACATATATGGGTGTTTGCTTTGAGACCGTTTATGAGCCTCCCTCTAAGATATGTATATATTATTAATTAATTTGTTTTTGTCTAAATCTTAATTCTTGATCTGACATCGAATAATACGTAAAAATTAAAAAAACTTAAAATAGTATCTAGACTTTTTAAGTCATTATTTAGATTTAGTTGTTTTAAAAGTACACATTTTGAAGGTAACTAAAAAAAATATATTTATTAAAAAAAAAACACGAGGCTATTTTTTTTATAGCTTATGAACTGTACCTGAATAATTTAATTTAATGCATTATAAGTATTCGATCTGTCATTATTGTAACGCTTTTTGTGCAAAAGTGGCATAACTTAAAAAATAAAGCGCTCGATTCTTAGAAGCTTTTAAGAGAGAAAGAGAGACATCATCGATCGAAATGTACTAGATACACAATCAGCGATAAAAATGTCCTCACCGAATGAGCGCTCATTTGAACATTTGAGCGCGCTTTTAATTTTTTTTTTGCTGAAAACAACTTTCAGCATTGCATTTAAGGTTCAATTTACATTGTTGTATGCTTATATCAACTAGAATAATTACCTAAACACAACTGGTGACAGTTTTAAGAGAACTTTTGCATGGGATTGTGTATCTATCACTTTTTTCATCGATGGGAGAGATCGATAATGTGTTCAAATGTCTTTCTAATAGTGTTTTTACGCGTTATTGTCGATGGTAATATTTTGTTACTGCGTCCTTGGTCTAGTGGCTAGCATGTATAATGTATATCCATAGATCGGGAATCCTGGGTTCGAGTCCCGAGTCGGATCAAGTTTAGTTATTGGGGTTTTCTATCGTGAAATTCTCAGTAACAGCCTGGAGTTGGGAAGTTGTATGTATACGTCTAAGGGGCCATTCATTAATTACGTAAGAATGATTTTTGATCCCCCCCCCCCTCTAACCCCATGTAAGGATACATAAGATTTCTCGAATAAATTTCGACTTGTAAAATATTACGTAAGAATGTGTTTTACCCCCCTACCTGCCCCAGATAAGGGCATGTATAGATTTTCTTAACCCCCCCCCCCTGGGGACACTTACGTAATTAATAAATGGCCTCTAATGTCACCCCGCAAGTGTGGTATGTCCTCGCAGTGTGCGAGTGAGAGAGAGAGAGAGTGCACGTCGTGTGTCTCTTTCCCTTGATTATTAATGACGTTCATAGACTTACATAAAAGGACATTGCGTTATTATATATTCATTTTGTTCTCTCTAGTGTTTAATCGTAGCCATTTTTTTCATTATCTTTAAAAACCACGAACAAGGCATGTTACTTTTATATTTGTATAACATGGTTAGATCATTTTTTGTCTTTTTTTCATACATAATTTTGAGTTATGCCACTTTTGCATTTATGTCTATAGTATAGTCGATTTTGAATTTGAAGTATTATTACACCAAATACCTAAATAGTTTTATTTGCACAAATTATATGTTTCGAATATTTAATGTAGATTTTTTATGCGTGACGATTATTTATTTTAATTTATAATTAAATGTTATATTGTATTTGTTGTTTTATTTGACGTCCAAAGAAATTAAAAAACCTTGTCGCGGTGGTGGGTCATTGGCTTCCGGCAATCCAGCCGGGCGCGAAGCCAAGAAACGCACTGGGAGGTGGCCTACCTAGGTGGGCGGTGTGTTATGCGGGTTGCTCCTGGTACATCTCTGATAGCAGAGTGGACTGTGGAGCAACCCCGTGGTTGTTGTGATCTGCTTCGGCAGACCTGCCGTCGGGGCGTCGTAGTTGAATGCGTAAGCGATTCTACGACGCCCCATTAAGACGGGGTTCCGCTGGGGTTTTAGTGGGTAGTACTGGCTTCTCTAGCCGATGAGTCCCACAAAATTGCATGTATGTACACAGGTGGTATGCGTAAATGCATTTCCCATCGTTAAAAAAAAGATTAGTCAAACTTTGTCATATATAAAGAAAACATCGCTATCAGTTAATACTAATTGTTGAATTTTCAATAATCACTATAATTACCTTTTTATTTTCGAACGCATAGTGTCATTTTAATCATAATATACGAGTATATCTACCACACGAAAGGATATGTTGCTTTTGTTCAGTTTTGACTTGTTTTTTCCCATCAAATAAATTAATACACATAACGCCATCTATTAACATTTATTTGAACTAATTAATCTTTGTTATTGATAACTGGAAAAACAAACAGATCTATCCCGCGGGAACCGTTCATTTTTCCGGGATAAAAAGTAAGCTGTTGTTTGACCGGCAATATAAGGTATCCATGCCAAATTTTACTAAAATAGGTGCAGAAGTTGTTGTGGACTAAGGTGTATAAGGTACTATCTCTGTGTTTTATTAACTATCCCATGGGAACTCTATAATTTTCCGGGATGAAAAGTATTTAAAAAATTGATCGGGGATATAAGGCGCCACCATGCAAAATTTCATTTAAATCTTCCATTTTCATCTATATAAAAAAAGACAATACTTATAATTTAAATCTTTTATTTAATCAATGCTTCTTCTTCTTTTCTTTAACATTCTTCTTAAAAAGATTTTGCACTTTTTTGAACACTCTATATATAACATACAGTGTTACTACTAATAAAGCGAGTTGATCCAGCATCCAGGTTTCGTACCACGCGTAGAGATGTGTCTTAGATCTAAGATGAAGTGCTCCTGGAAGTTTAAAAAGACACATTTAACCCTTATAGTACGAGATACGGTCGTTAGTACCGGGTATTATTTATTTATGTATGTTTTTGGATAGTTTAAAAATACAAATGAAACGATATGGCTTAGCGACTTATCGCTTCGTTCGGGTGCGTCCCTAGGTAGGTTTAAATTTTTTTTTAGCGAAACCTTAATTTTTTTTTCTATACTAGTAGTATAAAGACGTAAAGTTTGTGAGTTTGTGACGTTGTAGGGGTTAATCTCTGCCCCCCCCAACGTGCGTTTACCTTGTCGTGGTGGGGGGGCTCAGTAGTGCCCGGCAATACAGCCGGGCGCGAAGGCAAGAAACGCACAGGGAGGTGGCCCGCATCGGTGGGCGGTGGGAGGCGGCCTTCTTCGGAGGGCGGTGTACTTATTAGTATTTCTCTGACAGCAGAGTGGACCTTGGAGCAACCCCATGGTTGTTAAAGAAAAAGGGGTTAATCTCTGGATCTACTTAACCGATTTAGATGAAATTTGGTAAGAAGATAGTTTGAGACCCTGGGAAGGATATAGCATACTTATCCCACATATTTATCCCGGAAATCACCTCTTAAGGGAGTGAAAATGAAGATGAAATTTTGTATTGTTGTTTGCGAGTGTGAGTCGCTAGTCTAAAATAAAAGTAGCCTAAGTTACTCCTTATAACATCAGCTATCAGCTGTTTCGGATATTAGCCGAAACAAACACACACACATATATATATATATATATATATATATATATATATATATATATATGTGCGTGTGTGTATATATATATATATATATATATATAATACTAATCTGATAGCTTACCTTTGCTCTCAATAGCAAGTTCCACGTAGTGCTGTATTAACTTGGTAGTTGATACTGGACGGTTTCTAAATAATTTCGATATGTATTTCGCTTTGTTGTGGTAACTGAAAATATTAATACACAATTTACATGGTTTTCTTTGAAAACTAACGCAGTTTCTTATTTATTACACATTACTTCTTCTATACTTTTTTTACTTTTTTTCTATATTTCGATAGACCTTTATATTCCAAAAATACCAATTGCGCGTAATTCTAAGTATCCTCCGTGGTTTAACAAAACTCTGATTAAACGTATCAGGGAAAAAGAAACCGTTAGAGTAAGATACAAAAAATACAAAAATCCAATGGATGAGGTAGTATTATCGTTGCTAGAGAAAAGATGTGACAAGCTATCGTTGCAATGTTATAATACATACATTCAGTTTGCTGAGGATAAGATAACTTCGAATTCTAAGTTTTTTTGGACATTCATGAAACGCAAAAAACAAAGCAGTGCCAATTCGTATCCATCTGAAATGAATAGTGATAACGAAAGTGCTTCTGATGGGGAAAGTATTTGTAATTTATTTGCGTCAAATTTTTCGTCCATCTATATGCAGAATAGCGATTCGCGTTACGATTATGGTAGTATTCTAGATAATATAACTTTTGATGAATTCGATAGTCGTAGCTTATCATGTATACAAATTGACCGTGATGAGATAATTAAAAAATTGAAAAATATCAATCGTTACAAAGGAGCCGGGCCTGACAACATATCGCCTATTTACTTAATAAATTGTGCTGAAGAACTTGCACAACCATTAAAAATAATTTTTAACAACTCCCTTAAATTTGGAGTATTTCCTACTAAGTGGAAGGTTGCAAAGGTCGTTCCCGTGTTCAAAAGTGGAGATAAAAATAGTGTTAAAAACTACAGACCTATATCCATACTTTCTTTGTTTGGCAAAATTCTTGAGTCTCTTGTCTACTTGAGAGTTTATAGTCATTTCAAACACTTCTTTAGCGTTCACCAACATGGTTTTATTACTGGTAGGTCAACATGTACGAACTTGGTTCACTTCTCTGAACTGTTAATAGATGCAATAGACAATAGGGATAGAGTTGATGTCATTTACACTGATTTGAGTAAAGCCTTTGACCTAGTACCTATTTCTATACTACTCTACAAACTATCCGTTTATGGCGTTGTTAATTCCATGCTGAATTGGCTGAAATCGTACCTAACTGGCAGACATTTCTACGTCGTGGCTAATGGGTTCGAATCTATAAAATGCAGCATTACTTCTGGAGTACCCCAAGGATCGCATTTAGGTCCTCTCCTGTTTAATATCTTTATAAACGACTTGCCAAATTGCTTCTCTTGCTCCACGCCATTTATGTTTGCAGATGACCTCAAACTTCTTAAAACTATCAATAATCCTAATGATATTAATTCACTACAGAAGGATTTGACTAGCTTGCATAATTGGTGTAAGCTAAATGGTATGATATTGAACTCAAGTAAGTGTTTCCACATAACCTTTACGAAGAAAAAAAACAAATATAAGTACTAAATATTATTTGAATGACATGCCTTTGAGTACAGTAGATATTATCAGAGATTTAGGTATTCTATTTGACAAAAAACTTACTTTTGTACCACATATAGATAGTATTGTCAGTAAGGCAAGTAAAATGTTAGGGTTCGTAATCAGAAATTGTAAGGTATTTAAAAATATTCGAACAAAAATTACTCTATATAAAAGCTTAGTTTTGAGTATTTTGGAGTATGGAAGTGTTGTCTGGAGACCCCATTATGCTACCCACTGTTTGAGAATTGAAAGGCTCCAAAAGCGTTTTTTATATCATCTGGCTTTCTCACTGGGCAAATCTAGATCACTTGCAACTTATACAGAAAGGCTTACGTATTTTAAGATGTTTAGTCTAGAAAAAAGAAGAGATATATTGGATTTAAGTTTCTTATATAAAACTATTAACAGTATATATGACAATCCATCACTAATATCATCTTTTAATCTAAAAGTGCCTAGGTGTCCACGAAAGCCGATCAGCATTCTCGTAGCACCTTCTCGCAGATCTGTTTTAGGTAATCACTCTCCCTTGTCACGTTTTTGTAATATTATAAATAATCATAGCACCTTGGATCCATTCGGAGACACGCTGCCTATGTTCCAAAAAAAAGTAAAAAAATACCTATAATTTATTTTGTGGTTCTTCCTGGTTTTTTTTTTTTTTAATTCGAATTGTAATCTTTTTCCATTTTTGTGTGTTATTTAATTGTTTGAGTGTATTTTATTATTTATTTAATTTAATATTTTATAATAGTAATTTTAGTACTGTAAAATAGATATAATATTAACATTTTATAAAATCTCAAAATTTGCATGTGGTATTCACCTTAAAAGGTAGTGCAATTAGCTATAAAAACTTAAAATAATTGTACTTGTATAAAATAAATTGTATTATTGTAACTAACCACTGGTGAATCTAATAAATAAATAAATAAATATACATATAATAAAATTGTAACTAAGCCGAATCTGTACATTAAATATTTTTTCGAAAATCTTATAGAAATAGACATTATTATCTATACAGAGGCCGAATCTATAGTTATTAAAATTTTTGTCTGTCTGTCTGTCTGTCTGTTACCGCATCACGGGAAAACCACTGGAGGGATATTTTGATGAAATTTGGTATGGTGATAGCTGTTTATCCGGGTCAACATATTGGATACTTTTTACTGCGGGAAAATGTCTCATTTCTGAGAAAAAATACAAAAACTGCATTCTAAGAGTATACTAATATGTAAAATCTAAAAATTAGCTTTTTGGTCATCTGAATGCGGGCGGAGCCGCGGGCAATGCTAGTATTTGCCAAATATTTGAGTCTAAACAATAGATTTTGATAGCTTCAACTGACGTAATCACATAAGTAAGTCTCTACATAGATAATAAAAGAAAAATTATATACCTACCTGAAAAATAATCCGAACCCAATGATATAACCAATTGCCGATACGTTAGGCTCAGTTTGTAATGACCCAACTTGCTGTGCCAGCGGTCGCGGGTTCGAGTCCCGTTGGGGGCATTCATTTGTGTGATGAGCACGAATGTTTTTACTCCAGTCATGGGTGTTTATATTTATATTATGTATGTATTTAAAGTTATACATGCGTAGTGTACCAACTATCTGGTATCCATAACACAGGCCTCGTAGCTTACCATGGAACTAGATGGTGCTGTGTGTTAATGTCCCAACTTATTATTATTATAACCAAATGATAACTAATATGTCAAAGGTTTAGCTTATAATTAGGAGCATGCCACTTGACAGACATACAAACATACATACATTCATTAAATATTAAAAAAAAAACTAAATATTACACCTCTTCAGTGACAGTTAGGTAAATACCTAACAAAGAAGTTAACTTACCTATTATTATTTAGCATTATATTTAACTTTTCCTTCAACTCCTGGTCCATATTAGGTCCATATTTGACTGTTAGAGCATGTCCGGCCCTTTCACATCGCTTCGCATTACTAGGTTGATCCCCAAAAACTGGGATAGCAATCACTGGAACCCCAAAATATAAGGACTCTAATGTACTAAGAAGACCTCCGTGTGTTATAAATATTTTTGTGTTTGGATGTGCTGAAACATAATATTGTTGTTAATAATCATATGAATAGGCAGCGGTAGCTCAGTGGTAAAACGTTCGCCTGAAAATTAAGTTAATTAGGTTCAAATCCCGGGTCTTGCACCTCTGATATTCTCATATGCGAATCATTTCCAACATGATTACCACTTGTCTTACGGTAAAGGAAAACTTCATGTCTGAGAGAACCTGGAAAGTTTTCGAAAGACATGTAAAGTCCGCCCGCTCTTGGCCAGCGTGGTGGACTATGGCCTGATCCCCCTCGTAGTGAAGGGAGGCCCACGCCCAGCAGTGGGACGTTAAAAAGGGATGAATAAAATCACATATATGTAAGTGCGATGTGTGTACTATATTTATCACTTATACAAGTTATAACGGCTGAACAGATTTGAGTGAAATTCTGAATGGAAATAGCTTACGAGTGGTATACTCGATTAGATTAATATCTCGACTATCTTTTACCGCACCTAATGCAAAAATTAATTCATATTAATATTATAAATGTGAAAGTGTGTTTGTTTGTTTGTTTGTTTGTTTGTTTGTTTGTTTGTTTGTTTGTTTGTTTGTTTGTTTGTTTGTTTGTACTTCTTTCACGTAGAAACAGAGTGTCGTTGAAATGAACGATAATATTTATTTAAAAACTTATGTTATCACGAAATGAACTAAACAAACAATTAAAATTTTAACAAAAGCTTTCTAAACAATTGGGTGATTAAATAATCATTTGTAAGATAACATAATAGCTGTATAATTACGTAATGGGGGCACGGCGGTGCCTCCGCCAAGTCGAGCATTCTTTACTTACTAATCTATATATTTTTTTATTATTTATATTTTATTCTCAAAATATAAAAATACACATATAAATTTTACCGTATTCTTTAAAGAAAGTAAACATATGTAAAAGTATGACTTAATCTAGAATAGTAGCATAAACAGCAGATCAAGCTACTATTTTTGGCATAAACGTTTATTTTGGCGGGCTCCGTCTATATATTTCATTAGTATGAAGGATATCCTCAAATGTATAACAAAAATTAAAAAAAACTCTAAAATCATTAATCGATTCAACAGGGTTCATTTTCTGGGATAACAATCGCTTTGTAAATAAAACTATCTATATAGAGGCACGGGGATGACATCTCCAACTTTTAACTCCGGGTTGTTACTGGGAATAGAAAGACTCAATAACTAAACCTAGCCCGACCCGGGTTTCGAATCCAAGACCTCCAGATCTGCAGTCGTACATACTAGCCACTAGTCCACCGAGGCAGATAAACTACTATACTATGTATTACACGAATATAGTAGTAAAAATTACCTAATATGCTAGATTGAGGCATCCACGACTTGATGTGAACGTTTTTGGGTAAATTCTGCACTTTTCCATCATATTTCCATAGCACCGTGTAAGGTAATTGTTGGAAGATTTTAAAAAGATTCTTGTTTGTTCGTTCTGGTATATCTGATGGTTTCAAGACTGATCCCATGCTAAAGTATATTACTCCTTGGTTTGAAGAGTCTAAAAGGTCTTGGAGATCCTGAAAAGGTATGATAATTTTGGCTTACTAGGAAACTCTTTCTTCCTTATATGTACATAATATAGGAGTATTATTTCTTTGATTTCAGGTTTCAGACATTCAGATTCCACTAATAAAATAACATACAAAACAAATAACAAAATTCGTGCTTGCGTTTGAAATAAAATATTTTTATCAGTTACTACCACACAGTCAATATGTTACATACATATATGTAGGTAAGTCTATTTCATCTGTTTTATTGTGTTTAGGTAATTATTCTAATAAACATAAATATATGACACTGTAAACTGAACCTTAAATGCAGTGCATAAAGTTATTTTCACAAAAAAAAATTAAAAGCTCGCTCAAATGTTCAAATGAGCGCTCATTCGGCGAGGTCATTTTTTATCGCTGATTGTGTATCTAGTACTTTTTTAATCGATGGTCTATTTACGTAAAAACGTATCATAAATATAAACATTGAAAAAGGCATATCTCAAAAAAAAAACGGACAAATTAAAAACATCCTCCTTTTTGGAAGTCGGTTAAAAAGGTAAACTTGATAAAGTAAGTTAGGAAAAGTAAAGTAACTTAGTTTATAAAATAACTAAGTAAAAACTAATAAACAAAACTTACCTTAGGTAAAGGTGGTATATTGGGGTCAATGTGGTATCCTGCAATGTCGATTGCATTTGGTGGTAGACTTTGTGCAGAAGCAAAAGAAGGATGAGAATTAACAAACAATATGGATATATTGTGCATAGCTGACAAAAGTGGGGGTAAGGTTACCCCTCGGGACTGGGCTAGGGGGTAAAACTGAGATTCGTAGTCTGATTGTTGCTGTGGGTAGCGTGCCCTGTAAATATAATAAATGTACGAGTAAATTTTAATTTCACTGAAAAATCTTTCGTTTCCTTTAAAGAACGCGCAAAACGTCAGGTGGATTTATCTTTAAACGAAATCCTTTTCAATTCATATTCGATACAAATATACAGGAAATCTTTATATATATAATTCTTCTGTGAGTGTGTATGTCACTGAACTTCTCTCAAACGACTGGACCGATTTTGATGAAATTTTTTGTGTGTGTTCAAGGGTATCTGGGAATGGTTTAGATTCACAATTTGAATAATAATTTTCATCAAAAAAATTATTAAAAAAAGTTTGAAATTTTCAAATTAAAGACGTGTAGACAGGACAACGTCTGTCGGGTCCGCTAGTAATATTATATAGCTGGATAATTGACAGGATAGAAAATGCAAAGAAACGGTACAAAAGTATCTATATATTAACTATTACTATGAATAGCGACTCACCCTCGCTTCGCTATGATTTCCGGGATAAAAACTACCCTATGTCCTTCTCAGGGTCTTAACCTATGTTCTTACCAAATATCATCTAAACCGGTTCAGTAGTTTCGGAGCTTGTTCGGTACCAACAAACAAACAAAAAAACTTTCCTCTTTATAATATTAGTATATTTATGCATACATAATATTATAATAACATTTGTTGGTAACATGCCATAGCACGTTAAAAAAAAGACATTAAAATAACAACAAAAACTCGATGGAATTCATTCATTTTCTGGTTGTAGTGTTCAATAATTTAAAATAAGATAAAAAATTGTAGTATTTATAAAAAAAACGTATCTTAGGTACTACTTATAATATACTAGCATTGCCCGCGGCTCCGCCCGCGTTCAGATGACCAAAAACCAAATTTTTAGGTTTTACATATTAGTATACTATTACATTGCAGTTTTAGTATTTTTTCCCAGAAATGAGATATTTTCCCGCGGTAAAAAATATCCTATATGTTGACCCGGATAACCAGCTATCATTATACCAAATTTCATCAAAATCTGTCCAGTGGTTTTCTCGTGATGCGATAACAGACAGACAGACAGACAGACAGACAAAATTTCTAAAAACTATACATTCGGACTCTGTATCGATAATAATGTCTATTTCAATTAGATTTTCCAAAAAATATTTAACGTACAGATTCGACTTAGTTACAATTTTATTATATGTATAGATTAGGGTTTTTTTTCTGAACGGCTAAAAGTTCTGCTATAAGACACTTCAAGGATATCCATTGAAAACAGGACACCCTGTATACACACATCGATTTTCATATATAGACTTGCGACTTACCCTCGTTTCGCTCGGGTGCGTCCCTAAGTACGTTTTAATTTTTTTGAGCGGCACCCTAATTCTTTTTCTATAATAAAAGTAGCCTAAGCTACTCCTTATAATATAAGCTATCTGTCTGTGAAAGTCCTGTTAAAATCGGTCCAGCGTTTTCGGAGATTAACCGCAACAAATAGACAGAGAGACGAAAATTTTAAAAGTTATGTTTTGTTTGTAAGTACCGTATATAATTTCATATTCATTAAGTAAACAGCTGTTATTTTGACATTACAAATAGACACTTTAAAAGTAGTGACTTACAAAATAGGTATAACAAATGAATCAAACTGACAGATCGACTCACTTTTATGTAAGTAATTAAATTTTTTACATAAAAAATTGAATACTGTATATTTGCAAACAATACCCAGTTCTTGATTTAAATCGTCTGGAAAGAGATAAATGGTTGGGTGGCCTTCGTCGTCATACTTGAAAGATTTTAGAATGTACTCGACATAATCTTAAGGTAATTAGGTTCTTTAAATTAAATTGACAAAATATTTATTAGAATAATGTATATGAATATTTATTACATTTGTTTGTTCGTTTGTTCATTCGTTCGTTCGTTTGTTCGCTCATTCGTTCGTTCGCTCGCTCGTTCGTTCGTTTGCTTATTACATAGGTCGCTAACGAAGTATACCTACATATATTCTAGCAATAGTACAAAATATGACAAAAGAATGATCTAGACTAAATGGTGCCATAATTATAAGGAACGCTGCATTCTAATGACACGGCATAAAAATGAATACTAGTTCTTGCTTGGTTTCATTTGTGAGGTACGTTAATGATAGTTTAGTGGTTACCATAGGGTTGCAGATCTCCCCCCCAACGTGCGTTCACCTTGTCGTGGTGGGGGGGCTCAGTAGTAGTAGCGAAGCTAAGAAACGCACAAGGAGGTTGCCCACTTCGGTGGGCGGTGTACCTTGCGGGTTGCTCCTGGTACTTCTCTGATAGCAGAGTGGACCTTGGAGCAACCCCATGGTTGTGGTGGTCTGCCTTGGCAGACCTGCCGTCGGGGCGCCGTAGTTGAATGCGTAAGCGATCCTGCGACGCCCCATTAAGACGGGGGAAGGTTTTGTTGGGTTTTAGTGGGTAGTACTGGCTGTATTACGCCGGTGAGTCCCACACGTCGTGCGTAAATGCATTTCCCAACGTTAAAAAAAAAGAAAAAGGGTTGCAGATCTAGATGTCCTAGGTTGTAGTCCTGGGTCTGGTCAAGTTTAAATACTAGGTTTTCTATCAAGAAATTTTCAGTGACAGCGTGGTATAGGAAAGTCGGTTTCATCAAAATCATCCCCGTGCGTCAGAAAGCATTTGAAGCTCATTTCGGCTGATCTCTCACCGATCATATCGAGTTGTCCCCAGAGTTAAAAGAAAAGAGAGCGCACTTCTGTCCCGTTTTTGTAAATCGGTTAGAAGGATTCTCTTAGGAATAGCAAAGATTTTATTTCAAACTTAGCTTCTATTAATAAAATAATTTTTACAATCGATAAGTTTTCAATACTGCCGTCATAATTAAGAAGGTCCTAACTAACAATTTGGTCAAAATGACTTAAATGCAGATTCGGAATCAGTAAAAAAATGCTATTTGATAGTCTCACTCATAAAGCTCTAAGTCTTATGAATACGGAGATACCATAACCATTTTCATCGTAACTACGTCGAAACTACTACTAAGTAAGTACTAAGACAAATCTCGAAATCTACTTTGACAAGGTTGTGGCCTTCTTTTTTATATCTCTTTGGATATATTTTATCTTCTCTTTGTATATAAACAAAAAATTATTCCCTCTTTACAATAGTGTAAGATAGTAAAAACACTTACCAGAATAAATAACTTGTTTTCAAATACGACATAGTATTGGACAATCTTTCAAAGAAGTTCATTGGAATTCCAACATCCATCTTGAGTGCTGGGATTGTGGGTACTGATCTCACTTGGTCTATTAGAAACTCTATGTGATGATGCATTACCATGCCACTAAGTAGAATCCATGGAGCTTGTTGTATTGCCGCGTATCTTTAAAAAAAAATTAGGATAAGCTTCAATTAGGCCAACGCCATCGCTATACTAATACCAATAATATTAGATACATATATGCAGTTTCTCATTGCAGTTTGATGAGACATTATTTTGCGTAAAACTGGTTTGAATTCTGAAACCGGTACTCTCAGAATCTCTTAAATCGAATAAAAATATCCGATTACACTCAAAAAGACAGTGAGTAAAAGGAAGGGGTTAGCGTCTGGCAACCCAGCCGGACCTGCCATCGGGGCCTCGTGGTTGAGTGTGTAGGAGATCCTGCGACGTCCTATTAAGATGCCCCTATCTTAACAGGACGTCGCCACTACAAACCTAACAGAACTCCCCAGGTCTGCTGATTTTTAGTGTGCAGTACTAGATTATCTAGCCGGTGAGTCCCACATAACCGCCTGTATACAGGTGGTATGCGTAAATGCATTTCCCAATATTAAAAAAAAGGGTGGTGGGCTATATTCCACTGCGACTTATAATTGAAGCTTATTGAGCTCTGCAAATAGTAGTCTATGTAGTACTCCATCAGAGCAGCCACTCATTATAAACTCCCGGATGCTAAAAAAGGGACAGGATTAGTCATAACCAGCCGCTAGCTTATTGTCTTAGGACTGTTGATATTTATCGTATTAGTATCAGGACAAAGTATAGTTAAAACAATGTTTTTGCTGTTAAAAAATCTCAGTAGCATCCTTGAGATGAAAAAAAAGGATAATAATTTCTTTTATCTAATGACAGTATCTTCCAAATTACCTCCACTGCTTTTTATAGCTTTAGATGTCTCATACAGATATAGGACCCAAAAATCCGATGTGTAACACAAGAAATGATCGATGAATGATATATTTTTAAGGAATAATCGAAAAATTCACAATGAGATCATCCCCATTTACCCCAATCATCGTTACCTATGTTACCCTACTTAAAAGGGTGTATGCGTGATATTTTTTATTTTTTTTGTACATCGTTATATAATTGTAAAAAAAACACCCAGCTCCAAAAAAAATACTATAAAAAAAGTATATCATGCTAATACGGATACTTTAAACGGCCGCCATTTTGCGCAATAGGCGTGACGTCACAGTATGATACACAGAAAAATGACGGCTCAATTTGTAGCGACAAAATCGCTAATGGCTCTGATACGATAATACTCTGACGTCAAATTCGGTCTGACCAATGGCGTGCGTTTCAACTACTTTGAATTCCCACCTATATTTGCACTTTTTAATAACTATTTCCTTAATTTAAAAGAAATTTATAAAAAAAATATTGACATAGGCTTAATTGAAAATAAATAAAGATTATAAAAAAAATATTTCACCTTTATTTAAATCATAATTACCAGAAAAAATCTTACCCGCTATCGATGTCCGAAAAGAACCATTCAGATATAACTGCATCAAAACTCTCTTTAACCAATAAATTCCTTAATGCAGGCGTCTCTATGGTCGCTAGCGAAATATTTCTACCGAAATCTAGCACAATTGACATTGTTTGTTTTGTTAGATCTGAAGCTGCCATGTCTAAAAAAAAATTTTAATATTTTAGGTTAAAAAAACGATTTCGAAATAGTATTTAACACCACCAGGTAAATTTCTAAGAAACTAATTAAAATCCTTAGAAATCTATTGTTAACTGACATGCTGGCATGTCCGCGGTCGTGGAAGGATTAATAATAAAAAAAAATATCATTCAAATTCAAGAACTTCTGTGACTCATAAATTACTATTAAATTTTAAATGAAACTATCTTTCCGGATTTATTCGCAGATCTATTTTGATTTTTAGTCCCTGACGTTGCGGATGCTTTACAGCAAATATGACCATCGTTGTTGTTAATTTAAAATATCAAATATTCGCGTAAATCTAAGAAAGTATTAGACTATAGGTAATGTCTCCTGCATTTGGCTAGTCTCAGTGAGAGTCGCCGTGGCTGGAATCGGTCGGGATCATCAATTAACCAATCATAAACTACTTATCTTCCAATCTTCTAAACACCTATCTTAAAATTTCAGCTTCATAGGTTAAGTAGTTTCCGAGATTTCTGGTACTAGTAGATGATTGAAAGAGTTTAATTTTATATATGTACATATATGCAAGACTCGTAGTAGTGGGCGTTTTAGAAGAGTTGGGCATATTTGGGGAAAAGCCCTAAAAGGTTTTTTCCATCTTGGTCTATAAATCCCAATAAATTTTTATTACATATTTTGTAACTATACAATTCAACCCAAACAAAATTTAGCTTACCAGAAACAATTTTTACTGAGCATTCTACATCACCCTAAAATATGTTTAGATACATAATGTGTTTAGGTAGACCTTAAAAATAAACTTACATTTATGTATTTTCTTTACATGACTCACATCGACTACTCTGACATTTTTTGATATTTCCAATTCTGGAAATGAAGTTACTAGGGTTATCTGTAAAAAAATATAGGAAAAGTATGTAATTTGAGTGGGGGTTTGATTTCTGATTACAGCAAAATTAAAATAGTGGACTTTAATTAATAGATTAGGTTTAAAACATACGTATACCAAAATAAAGAGATATTTTTTATGGTGTTCAGTGTTAAAGGAGCAAACAGCCCACCTGATGGAAAGCGGTACATTTGGCCCATAACTCCTACGATTCATGCATTTAGGTTTTATGTAATAAAAATGCAGAAACACCTTATCCTACAAACCGGAATAAGATAATGCTATTATTGTTGCTTGGCGGCAGAGGGGATGGTGCTTGGACTTGACAGAGTAACACATTTGGACGTAAATCAAAGCATAAGTGCTCCCTTAACTTGATGTAAGACTCGTACCAGGTGTTATATATAGTTAGACCAATAATCAATCAGACATATACCTGATGCCCAGCATCCAGCAAAGGGTTGACTAGACCCCTCATCAGATGATAATGACTCTTGGAAGGTACCGTCTGCAGACAAAGTATCTTGTAGCTGTATACCGTTGACACCAGCGACAGGAATATTATGGCGAACTTCATTTTTCTCTGGATTTGAAGAATATATTACTATATTAGTTACCCAATAATCGATACATCTTAATATATATAATTCTTCTGAACGTGTGTTTGTTAACTCTAACTTTGTTACTCCTCTTAAAACACAGAACCGATTTGGATGAAATTTTGTGTGTATATTTCAATGAGCTCCTGAGCAGTTTGAAAATACAATTGGATCCGGTAGGTGGCGCTGCAGTCGGTGTGCCACTGATCATCTCCTAAACGGTAGGGACGATTTTAGTGATATTTTTTGTATATGTTCGAGTAAGTCCCTGCAAGGTTTGAAAACACAAAAGGATCCAGTAGATGGCGCTGCGGTCGGTGTACCACTGATCATCTTCTAAAAAGATTTCATCCCGTATGTCACAACTCTCTGTTTGTAAAAGGAATGCAGCTAACTTTATCATGTCGCGTTTTAGCTGTTGGTGGGCGCACGCATCGTATTATTATTCAGTAACTGGTATAACCCATTACTGTGAGAGTAAAAATAATTCTTGTTATCCTAAATACATTAAAAAACGTATACATATTTTAAGGCCTGCTTTTGTTTTTGATCTCAGAACCCAAGTTTGTAATATTCTCTTTGAAATATTTAATCAGTAGACGTGATTGACCGGACTCAAGGTCAAAAAACTCCAAAATTATATACCTCAAATATTTTTTTGTATCCCAAAATACTGGTTTTGTTTTTCAACTTTATTTTGATCTGCTCCATTACTTTTTAGGCCGGTTTGACAATATAATATGAATGAGGGAAAGCTCTTGTGGGAAACAGGGCATGCTGCAAAATGGCTTGGAGACGTATTTAAAGACTTTTTATTTGTTTGTGTGTTTGTTTGTCTGTGTGTTTGTTTGTATTTTTTGGACGTTGAAACGGATTGATGTGATTTTTTATATGTTCTGCCCCCCCCCCCCTATCTATTTAGAGGGGCGGAGAGTACTACTTTAACGACAGAACTTATTTTTCTGCGATAAAATATCTTATTCCCGTGAGATAACATGTCATGTACATTAATACATATTACTGATTGAACTATGGGAACCAAGTGCATTCACGCGAGTGAAGTTGCGGGCAAAAACTAATTAATACTAATATTATAAAGAAGCAGAGTTTGTTTGTTTGTTAATTTGTTTGAACGCGTTAATCTCAGGAACTACTAATCCGATTTGAAAAATTCTTTTTGCATTAGATAGCCCGTTTGTTGAGGAAGGCTATATATCATTTTACGCGTGATTAACAAACAAACTTACAATCATTCACGTATTATTTTAGACTATTAGTATGATTATAACTAATTATATTATATAGTACGATAATTCTAGCATTGCTTCCCTTTGACTCTTTTCGGATTGTCTCGCTCGTAGGCATATAAACTATGCCGCGCGTCTATGTGGCGTATTCTTTGATCCGTGTTCTGGTATAATAGTGCGTGGATTGTTTAAAGCTTTCTTGCGGGGTGCGCGGGTGTAGCGCGCTACGACTCGCCCCAACACTCAAGGCCATTGGGGACACTAATCGCCATAAGGCGAAAATATTTAGCTGCATAAGGGTGTTAAGTAGTATATATGTACATATATTTGGAATTAGTGACTCACCCTCGACCCTACGACGTTTAAACTTTAAACGTTTAGTATAGATTTCTCAGACGTGAGATATTTTCCCGCAGTTAAAAGTATCCTATACGTTGATCCGGATAACGAGCTATCGTCATACCAAATTTCATCAACATCTGTACAGTGGTTTTCTCGTGACGAGCTCCGAGACAGACAGACAGACAGACAGACAAAAAAATTAAAAACTATAGATTTGGCCTCTGTATCGAAAACAATGATTATTTCAATAAGATTTTGCGAAAAAATATTTAATGTATAGATTCAATAGACTTAGAATTATATTTATTATAATATGTATAAATAGGAAAACTTTTTAAAAAAGGAGGTATTTATTTAAGTTCTAAATTTTATGTTGCATTGACCTTTTGCGAAATCTTTGCCGATGTTACAACTTTTTAAAGTGTTTTTTCTTAACCGTTTTTCAATTTAAGAAAAAAAAACAATTTTTTAACAAAAATATAAAACCGGCTTCAAACAACAACCTATAACAAAAACACTAAAAAGTAAAAAATAATTGATTGGTAGTTTTCATTTACAATACATACCTAATCAAATATTTTCGACGTCGGTGTGCTTTGCTTTGTATCGGCTGATACAAATACACATACATACAGTTGTGGTGCACAAGTGTACGCGCAGACACAAGTGCACTCTCTATTCCTGTCACTCTCATACTCCGGTGGAACGACACGAGACACGACCAGTGAGAGTGTCGGCGCAGGACCGCAGGTTTTACGTGCTCTCCGAGGCACGGGGGTGAAACACCGCCAACTTCCCAACTCCGGGCTGTTACTGAGGCTTACTATACAGAAATACTCAATAACTAAACTTGGCCCGACCCGGGACTCGAACCCAAGACCTCCGAGTATGCAGCCGTACATGCTAGCCACCACCGTGGCACTATAATATCTCCTGCGCAGTTGGCTAGTCTCAAGGAGATTGGCCGCCGTGGCCGGAATCGGTCAGGAGGGCATTATTATTATAAATATTATTATTTCGTCAATGTCACGTAGAATGGACAAGACACGAAGAAGATTGGTTGGTAAAATAAGATTATTTAAAAAAAAAAACTTAAAGATCCACATTAGTCATGTATATTATGATATTTTAAAGTATCATCTTATACAGCCTACAGGTAGCACCATCTTTTGGCAAATTTTATTACTAACAGTAATCTATGTCAATCAAATCAAATATCAATCAAGCCGTTCCGGCGTAAAGGAGTAACTGACGTACATATGTACATACTAATTTTCGCATTTGTTATATGTATTGTGATTAGCAACTTGATGTAACCGAGTCTGAGGTATTATATTCTTGTGTTTTTTCCTAGAAACTTCATGGACACTGCACATATCACATTTCTTGAAAATATTTAATTTACAGATAAATAAAATTGAAGGTTATGTAAAAAAAAATGAAAAAAATTATATGTTTGTCTGTTTGTTTGGTCGGATAATCTCCGAAACCTATTGATATTGACACAATTATTTATTTGAAGTAACTTACCTCAATTATGGTGTTCTTTTTTATTTTAAAATCATTAAAAATAAAAATGGCATCCAGAAATTTAAAATTAAATTCGATTACATTTATATTATATTTCTTAATTCGTGACTCACCCTCGCTCCGCTCGGGTTCGTCCCTAATTACGTTTTAACGTTTAGTATAGATGTCTTAGAGATGAGATATTTACCCGCAGTAAAAAGTATCCTATAAGTTGACCCGGATAACCAGCTATCATCATACCAAAATTTCATCTAAATCTGTCTAGTGGTTGGACAGAATTCTAAAAACTATAGATTCGGTCTCTGTATTGGATATCGACAATAATGACTGTTTGAATAAGGTTCTCCAAAAAATATTTAATGTACAGATTCGACTCAGAATTTTATTATATGTATAGTATTATAGATAGATTAATAAACTGAATAATTGCACATCATACTCACGTTTTTAATTTACAATAAAAAAAACACTTAATCACATTCGAAATACGAAAATAAACCCAGCACATTCCATCCTGTATGGACAGTGGACACTGACTGACTCTTTATGGAAAAAAATAAATCGTTCCAGCAAGTGAACAGTTAAAATGTAATATGTAACAAAGGAAAATTGTCTTTATTCGCATATACATAAAGACTATAAAACAGTGAATAGATATTGACGTAAATTAGCACAGTAAAACTATAAGACTTCAAAACTTGTTGTTGTTGAAAATCACTCCTATTTCAATAATACTAAAGTTCAAAATCCTTTTACTTTCTTGAAAACTAAAAGAAACAGTAATTACAAGTCATACAATGATAGTTATCGATCTATAAATAAAATTGAACTTTCAACTCGTTACGATAAGTTCGATATTTGTTTAAAGTTGGTAAAGTCATATTGAGGTTAAAAACCCCTCAAACCATATTTTTGGGAACCCTACTAATAAGCTCACACTTCCCGTCCGTCCAAGCTTTAAAGGGATCTTTTGAGTTGGTAGAGGAAATAAAATTTGGTATTATTAACAAAATATCTGTTATTCTCACGAAGAAATCTATTATAAGAGACTAGCGTCTCACTCTCGCATCGCTTAGGGTTCGTCCCTAGACAAAAACAAATCCCACGGGAACCGTAAACGTTTCCGAGATAAAAAGTAACGTATGTGCTATTCCAGATTATAATCTATCTCTGTGTAAAATTTCATCCAAATCCGTTCAGTCGTTCTGGCGTAAAAGGGTAACAAACATCCATCCATCCTCACAAAATTTCACATTTATAATATTAGTATAGATTAATATGAATAGTTTAAAAGATATACGGGAACAGATGAACAACATAGCATGCTGAAATTATAACCTTCCTTTTTCTTTGATGTAATTGGGCATAAATGGTCTTCATATAAGAAACTTTTTAGTATTATTTTTTATATTTTAAATAGTTTAATTATGTCCTATTAACGTCCCACTCCTGGGCCTGGACTTTCCGTCAATGCGAGGGGAATCAGGCCATAGTTCACCACGCTGGCAAAGTGCGTGTTCGTCGACTTCACATTTCGAAAACTAGTTATGTTTTCTCAGAAACACAGATTTAAACGAAGTTTTCCTTTACCGTAAAGCGAATAAAAATCGTGTGGAAAATAATAAGCACAAGAAAACTCAGAGGTGCAAAAGCCGGGATTTGAATCCGCTTCAATGGGTTTTCCAAACGAGCCCGATACCACTGGGTTACCACTGCCTTATTCTTGCGGTGGTAACAAACTCAAATATATTGTGGCCGAG